CCGCTCGGGGCGGGAGTGGCGCGCGCCGGGGCCGCGGGCGCCGCGCTTCCCCGCCTGGCACCCGGGCGGGGCGTGGGGTCTCCCCGCGGCTTCAAACCGCCGCCCGAGAAAACGCTTCTCCGGCGCACCTTGTGCCGAAAGGGCCCCGAACGTCCGTGCGCGGACACGGCCGGGCGCCGCGAGCCTTTGGCACCCGGGTCGCCGACCGGCTCTCCCTGCTTGGCTTGCAGCCCGGAGGCCGCGCCCCGGAAGGCGGCGGGCACCCCCAAGATCTACACCAGGACCGGAGACCAAGGTAGCCTGCGGAGCCGCGCCGGTGGCCCGTGCAGCCGGCTCGCCCCCCGCCCCCGCCCCCCTGGCCTGGCTGGGGAATGCTGGGACGTGTAGTCCAGTGCATCTTGGGAGCTGCTCCCAGGACAGGTCTCTCACAGGAGCATTGAAATGGGCAGCTCCTGCCATGTCCAAAGGCAAAAATCAAACTGTCCTCCTTGGACGGGCGTAAAAACAGCAGCTGTTCTGGTCCCCGCTCAGCCATGGCGCCAACTGGGTGACTCTGGGCCAGTCACAGACTCTCAGCCCAGCCCACCTCACAGGGTTGTTGTTGTGGGGATAAGATGGAGGAGGAGATGTAAGCTGCCTTGAGCCCTTTGTAGGAAAAAGGCAGGATATAAATCAATAAATTAATAAATGCAGTACTGCTCACCGGAAAAGGGAGGAACGGCTTTCGCGATGAGGTCGCGCCGCTGTGTTTTGAAGGGGCTCAGAGGGCAGCGCCTTGTCCCCAGATTGTTAAGGAGCGTCTTAAAGCACGCCGAAGCATTCGTATACTTTTGACCTCAATGGGGAGCCCCGGGACGCATGGTGTGAGGCCTGCAAGTTCTCCAGCCCCTTCAGCCACCCTGGACCCCTCCGTGGCATTGCCTTGCTCTCCCGAGGGGTCGGGCCCTCCTTTGGGGCGCTGGCTTTCAGGCAGTGAGGGGTTTCCGTGTCTGGGCTGAGCGGTTCCATCTTTTCCCTGATTACTGTTGTCTTGCCTGGTTTTAAAGGCTTTTCCAGCACATTCACGGGGGAAAGAAGGCCCAAAGACGACCTGATCTTCGAAGCCCTGGGGACGCTGGATGAACTGAGCTCAGCCATAGGGTAACCGACAGAGCGCTTGCTGAAATTCGCTTCTGGGTGGGCGCAGTTGGCAGGCCGCCTGTCCTCGTGACGGTCCTTGAGGGCCGAGAGTCAGCAAGGAAGCCCTTGCATAACCGGCAAGGCGGCGCCACGCCGGGTGGCAGTGGGAACCTGCCAGGCCCGGAAGGGAAGGCCCAGTGCCAGTCGCAGTCATGACTCAGAACCGCGCATCCAGCCTCTGGCCGAGAAAGCGGAGCGGCCCGTGCCCGGCCCTACAGCTCTGCCCACGTGCAGCTGCAGCTTCTTGGGACACCCGGCTCCACACGCAGCAGGGTGGCCCAGTTTGGCAAGGCGTGGGTGGAGGTGCCTTCCCTGCAGCGAAATTCCCTCCCAGGAGAGGCAGCTGGATCCCCCGACTGCCTTTTAAAAGGCTGGAAGCCTTTGTTTTCCTTGGCTTTTAACTGAAAGACAAACTTCTTATTGCAGAAGACTTAGATTTTAACTGGCTTATTTGTATTTTAAAACTGCCTGAATTTAGATGGCTTTATGCATTTTACTATTTTATGATTGCAAGCCAGCTTTGGAAGAGTAAGATATTGAAAGGTTGCTAAGCGAGATTATGTATCGCTTTGCCCTTCGTGCATCCAATCTGCCCCTGGGCTGGGCCTTCATCAGGCTGGGTGGCTGATGGCAGATTGTGTCCGAAGCCCCAGGATGTGTTGGACTGTGGCCCCCGTACTGCGTCCACCAGCAGAGTGCTCTCTTGCCAGGCCAGTGGAGCTCCTTGCGTTTGCCTGCTTCTCTGCACACCCCAGTCTATGTTTTTCTATATTTCAAATGAAGGTCTTCCAGGAGACCAACGTCACTAACAAAGGAACATATTCTCAACCACACGTTTTGGGTTTTTGGGGGACTGTCCCACTGGCTTCAAACTAGCTTAAATGTCTTGCGTATCACCGGAGGTAAATCTCTCACGTGGGTAGAGCTGAAGTTTCCTACATCCTAGGATTCAATCCTTTCTCTTCTGGTCCAGGTTAAGTGCTGAATTCGGGAGAGAACATGGCCATTCGTTTGTGGAAGAACTTCACAAGGTGAGAAAGAACTCTTACGTGTTCGCTGATGCACAAACCAGATTCACACCAGAAAGGTTCACATGGCCCAGTTCCTGGGTCCTAATTTTGGCCCGCTAAGAGAAGCCCAACAAGGGAGGAAAACAGACATGATACTGCGTCCACCATCTGGGAAACAGTTTACTAATGCAAGTTCTGCTGGGGAAACCCATCTTTCTCCACCTCTCAAAAATGCTACAAAGGATGCTAAGAAGATGGCTTGTTTCAGGGCTCCAGGGTGGTTTATAAACCTGGTTTGGATGCAGCAACAGTCCATGCCCAGTGAGGGCAATTGGGCCAATGAGCCGGCTCACAGTTGGCACACGCGGGGAGGGAAAATAATCCCCTGTGGGTTTGTTTTTACTCCAGCAGGTGTGGGAGCTTGCCCAGTATCTATTTCACCAGCCGTCTTTGAGGAAGATGATTTCTTGGGCTCCGAATCTGTGTTGCAATTGTGCTCTGTCTCTTCTCCGTAGGTCCAGTGCGTGCTGCAAGACGCCGGCTCCAATGTGGCGACTCCCATCTCCTCAGCCAGGGAGTCACATTTGAGTAACTAGAAAATAGTGCTTTGAAACTTCCTTTTTCAAAAAGATAAGCCTAGCACTTTGTGAGATGCTTGCCCTGCTATTGCTTCCTGGTGTAGATCAAGGAAGTGCAGCCAAGCCCGGATTATTACTTTTGTCGTGGGTTGTTGATACACTGCAGCTGCTGCTCACGTTTCCGCCTGGAATCTCAAGGTGGGGCTCCCAGGGAGCCGAGCCCGGCATCAGCCACGGCACCCAGGCACGTGCCGGCGCTCCACCTCTTTTGTGGCTGCTCCGTGGGCTGGAGGAAACACTTCGTGCAGGGCCAGGGGTGCTTGAGGCATTCCAGGGCCAAGTGGATCCAAGGCCACCTCGATTTCAGCAGGGTTGCGGCTGCATTTTGTGCCTCAGCTCTCTTTTGGGCCTGGAAGCAAGTAGGAAAGTGAGGAGTGGAAAACCCGCAGGGTGGCTGCTTCCCTCAGCCCATTTTCTCCTTCTCTGCAGAGCGGACGTCATTTAGCAACAAGCCCATAGAGGAGCTGGAATCATGGATCGACGGCTACTCAGATCGGCTTCCGCCGCTCACTGCTTTCATCCTGCCCGTGGGTATTGGGCACTTTTTGCATGCCGAGAGGCAGCGTCTCCGGCGCCCAAGAGTCAAAGCCGCCCGTCCCTGCTTAGCAGCGAGCAAAGGGCAGTGGTGCCAGATTGGGCCCAAGGCCTCACCAAAGCTGCTGCTCCTCAGGGATGCTGGAACTGGGAGCCCTGCCGCGAGCAGCGGGCTGGACTTCCAGCCCCCCTCCAGCTCTGCTCTGCTCTGCTGTGACTCAGTTCTGTGATCGCTGAGGGAGGGTCTTTCCTGCTCAGAGGCAGAGCCCCCGTTTTGCATGCAGAAGGCCGCGGCCCCCGCCATCTCAAGCTCGCAACGGAGCAGGTGGTGGAACAGCTGCTTGAGAGCTGCTCCCAGACTAATTGTGGGAGGGGCAGGACAGTAGCTTGACCTGGCACAAGAGGGCTTCATGTTGCCGGCCGTTGATCCCGGGCCGGTAGCCCAAATCCGCTCCGCCAGAGTTCCCAACAGGCGCTCCTTTTCTATGCAGCCCCCCGTTTTTTCTGGCTGCCCCACTTTCCAGGTGACTGGAAAGCTTCCCCTTTGGCTCGACAATTGTCCAGATGAGCCCAGATATGCTGGTGGGGGGGAGGGGTTGGCTCTGCTCATCGTAAAAATGCAGCCCCCCCCCCCCCCAAGAGTCTCCTGCTGCAGAGCTCAGCCCTGGGGCTGAGAGAGCTTCGCCCATTGGCGCTCTTGTTGTTCCAGTCCGGCGGCAAGAGCAGCGCTGCGCTCCACCTCTCCAGAGCCGTCTGCCGCAGAGCCGAGAGGCGGTAAGTGACAAGCGCCGTGAAGCTCCGAGAAATCCCGCTGGCCCTCTGCGAGCTGCCACAGCTGCCAGGCTCACGCGCCGGCCGCAAATGAGACATCAACGTCCGGATAACAGCCTCTTTGCGGGGCCTGTGTGAGAAGACGCGGCTGGCAGCTGCTCTCGGCCGATTTGCCCCTTTCAAGCCAGCATCGCCCGGATCACGGCGGACTGGACTTTGGAGTCTGTCGCCTGAGAAGGCTCTGCTCCAGGGGTCGGCCTCCCGAGTCCTTTCCAAAGCGGGATCTGAGATCAGAAACGGTCACGTTCAGAGGATAATGCCCCGGCTGAATGCGCTTTCTGAAGCACGTGCGGCAGATTGAGAACGCAGAACGTGATGTGCTTGGCAGAGGACAAGTTTGGGGCGCGCGCTCGCATTGTGGGGGACCCCGAGGGTGGCTGCTGCTTCTGGTGACACTGAATTCTGTTTGCCTCTCTGTAGTGTTGTTCCTTTGGTGAAAACGGGAGACGTGGATGCCAATGTAGCCAAGTATTTGAACAGGTAACCTGAAGATTCTCACGGACCGGGGCAGGCTCCCCCTCGCCTGGAAATCGTTCTTCGGCTGAGCCAGTGGAGAAATGGGGCGGGGCGGGGCGGGAGTAAGACATGAGGGCAAGGAGGCACTTAGCAAGAGGAGGAAGCGGACCCAAGGGGCTCTTCCTGCAGGCATCAAGCAGCTTCTGTCTAACTTGTCAGTCGCTCGCTGGGGAAGGACTGTCACATTTGCGCACAGACGCTGCCGGCTTCCGTCTGCGGCACCGGCGACGTGAGAAACGGGTCTTGGCAGCAGCTGATGAGGCAGCAGCCTGCAAGCCACCTGAGAGGAGCGAGCAGATTATGGGCTCGGCTTGATGGCCGCATCCTGTGTCTGCTGGGGAGCAGGGTCAGGCCGCTCTTGTCAAGGAGGATGTCCCGGAGGCTCCCCTGGAGCCTGGCTCTCCTTTGGGCGGCTGCTGCTAGCCCCAAGGGTTTCAAAGCGGCGGGAGGGGTCAGGAAAGTCGCAGAGGAGGCCGCGAGTCGCAGTGGTACAGCTCAGCTGCCGGGGAACGTGAGCGAGAGCCTGGGTTTTGCCCGTGGGCCTTCCAGGAGAGCAACCAGCGTGCCGGACGAGAAAGGCTTTGGATCCGGCCCAGCCTGGCTTCTCCCAGCTGCACTGGACTCTAGTGCCCGACGTTCCCCAGCCAGAACGTGAGAACACCTCCGCCCCGCTGCACCCTCGCCTGGGAACAGGCGGGGGGCCGCATTCCTCCCGCAGGTCCTGGGGCCCCCCACCTCTTTACCGTTCCCTTATGGCCAAACCACCCGCCTCTTTCCCCTTGCTCCAGGCTGAGCGATTACCTGTTTGTATTGGCCCGCTACGCCACAAAAGGAGAAGGGAAGGAGGAGAAAATCTACAGGAGGAGGGAGCTGTGAGACGAAGCAGCTTTGGGGGCAAGACGGGGGAGCCGTTCCATGGAGCCGGCGCAGGGTGGGCGAGACCAAACCGAACAACGCGCTGCAGCCGGAGGGACGGGCTGCTCCTGCAAGCTGCCCATGCCCACCAGTCCGGGCCCTTGCCCACTCCCCATCCAACTCCAGCCGACTCAGAGCATTTGCAGAGCTTGATCCTGGGACCCGGATCGCTGGAGGGGCCAGTCAGGGCGGGAGAAAACGCAGGCGCCATTCTGGCCCCTCCGCAGAGCCCTGATTAGCAAGACATCGCCTCTGTGCGCCTGGTTGCTGCCGGCCTTCGGCTGTGTGAGTGCAGTCAGACTGACATGCCTGCCCGGCTGGTCCTTGCACCCGCCTAAATTCCAGCTACGGGTGGAGCAAACCCACATCTCCCCGGCGCAGACTTTGTCCCTAGAGCCTCTGCCTTGGAGATCCGACAGCAGAGAAATGGGGCCCTGGCAAGATCACGGAACTGGATGCCTTGGGAATTCCGCCTCTCCCGCCCGGGTGCCTCTCCCTCTCTCGCAATTGCTGGGCTAGACACAATTTGACCACAACACTTCCAAACTACAAAAAATGTTCAGAGCAACCGGTTTGTCAGGAGAGCATCTGCTGCGGAGCTCCCCCCGCCCCTCTCTTCCAGAGAAGTCCCTGTCGAAGAACGGGTGAAAGGCAGGGTGGAAGGAAGGAAGGAAGACTGCCCTGCATTCAGCCAATCTGTCGCCTTTATTTCCTACATTCCTGAATTCGCAACATGGAGGAAGAGCCGTAACTCTAAATTGCCAAGATACAGAAGGGGCGGAATTCCGTGTTCGTCTCCCGCGGCTGCCTCCCCGCGCAAGCAAGGCCCGGGCCGGGGGAGGCGGAGGAGGGCGGCTTTGCAGCTCCCTACCTGATGGACGCGCTGCAGGGCCCAGTTCGCCTCATCTAACTGGGAGAGGAGACCGCCGTTAAGCCCCGGCCCGGCCAAGCCAGCTCCAGCTCAACATACCGATGACCGAGGCCGCTGCACGTCTGCTCGGTGCCCTCAGAAATGTACTGGGCTACCACACCCAGCATCCCCGTGCCTGGGTGAGGTAGTCCAACACAGAAGGACAGCAGCTTTTTGCGCTCCTCGGGCGCTCTCCCTGCCCCTGCCCCATTTCTTGGGCATCCCACAATCCAGTGCGGTATTGCCAAATTCCTCAAGAGAACTCTGGGCATGCCACCTCAGAGAGGCATCCTCCTGCAACTTTGACAGTGAAATCAAGAAGAAAAGACTGGGGGGCAGAGACGGATATTTGGCTAAGAGAGTCATGCTCATCTGGGCACAGCCCTTCGCTAGAATCTTTTTCAGGAACAACAACAACTATTTGACATCTCGGAATTAGGGGTCAACTATGGGAGAATTCTCGGGTCAGACAGCATTAGGCTAGACCTCTGAAAAATGAGAGGACTAAAACTAGCAAATAAAACACGTTTGAAAACCTCAATCCACTGTTTGCTTTTAGTCACAGTGACCCCATCCTTCGCTGCTGCTGCCACCCATTTCACAAAATTCACAAAGGAAAAGGAAGCGCCTCCTGGCAGGAGCCCCACCATCACCCGGAGCCATGGGGAACACGCGCGGATCGCAAGAGCAGTGCGCACCAGCTTGGCACCGCCTTGCAGAAACGAAAAAGAAAAACTAGAACGGGTGTCGCCCACCATTCTTGCGCTTCCGGTTCCAGAAAGCAGCCCCCACGCCGGAGGGGCAAAAGGGAGTGCGAGCCAAGGCCATGCATCCGACAAAAGTCCGTGTGGGTGTGGATTTCCCACACCAAGGAGAGCTGGGAGAAACAGCACCTCCAACTGGCGCTTCTCCCTTGCAGGGGACTCCTGGCTCGGCGGGGGGGGGGGGGGGGACACAGACGTGCATGGAAGCTCCGAGGCCTGTACATGCGCACGGGCTGCCTCAGCCGAGACGCCTCCAGGAGCTGCGCTGCATCTGGTCTGCGCTCCCGGTGCTGGTCTCCTGGCTGACACTTAAAACGGGTTCAGCGTAAGGGGGTCCCTGAGAGGGCAGAGCGGGGGCCGCCTGGGGCGATCTGTGGTCGGCCATGGATTTGCAGGCGTTGGGACTGGGTGGCCGGGGGAGACCACCAGGGGAGACCACCAGGGGACTCCGGTGGCCTTTCCTCCCTCTGCCGTGCCCACAGCTGGCGGGTCCCTGGTGCGAGGCCGTGGCGTCCTGCACGGGGCCGTGCGCGCAGGAGACACGGAGGGGCAGGACCGTGCCGGATCCCACGTGGGTTCTGTGGCAGCCGAGATGCGCTTGGGGAGCGGGGAGTTGGGATGTGACGTTGCCGGCCAGTCACGGCCCCCTGAATGAAGCCTCCCAGCTGGGCGCCCACCCCGTGGCTGAAGCTCCTTCCACCCGCAGCCGGCATGGCCAAAGGGAGCGTCAGTCCAGCCAGGGGGTGGGCGCCCAGTTGGGGAAAGCTGCTTCGTGCTGTCCGGGAGCTGGCAAGCTGCAGCCCCTCCCCCAGAAAGCTGGAAGGCCCCTGTGGGGGGAGGGCCAGGCATCCCAGGGACCCTGCAGAGCCAGGCCTGGCCAGCAGGGAGCCCCGGGAAGGGCCGGCCCGCCTCAGGCCCGAGCCCACCAGAACGTGCCAGCTGCCACACCTCGAGTGCGCTCCACGGCCAGAAGCCGACCCCAGAGAGCCCGGCCAGCAGGGGCGGCTGTGCCCCAGCTCCGAGAGGACGGCAGCAGAGGGCAAGAGCCGGTCGGTCAGGGCGGGGGAATGGCTGAGAGCAGGAACGCAAAGGCCCGGAAACGCTCCTGGGAGGAGAGGCAGCGGTGCTCCCAGCAAGCCCGTCTTCGGCTACCTTTCCATGCCTTCGGCCCGCCGGCACCTGGACCTCTCCGATCGGGTCCCGCGCACGCCCAGGCCCAACCCCGTCTCCGAAGGCCAGCGACGCCTTGCTTGGCAGGGACACAGGCAGAGGGGGAGCAAGGTAGCCCGAGCGTGAGGGAAGGGCCACCGAGGACCAGGATCACTCCACCTTCCGAACCCACCCGGAAACCAGCTGGCCGCTCAGCCGGGCAGGGCCCGCAGCAACCCCGCTGCCCCTCGCCGAGGGTCGCTCCCCAGACCGCACTCCACGTCCGGCAGGCCAGCTGCTTTCCGTGCGTGAGAGCCAGGCGGCGCCCGAGGCAGCCCCTCCGTGGGGCGCTTCGCCGGGCCCGGGAGAGTCCTGTCTCCAGCCCCGGAGACCACCAGGCCCCGCCACGTCCTTCCTCTGCCGAGCCCCACAGAGAGCCCACCTGCCTTGGCCGGCCAGGACCGCCCCCTGGCGCCAGAGGAGGGCCGGGGCTACGAGAGCTCGAAGCCCGTGTTCATGCTGATGGCGTAGCGCAGCTTCTCGCGCAGGACGGCTTTTTTGCTGTAGTTGGGCAGCTTCAGGAGGTTGAAGCAGGTCGAGGAGGTGGGCAGGCGCCCGCCCGGCTCCTTCTTCCGGATGGTGAAGAAGCCCCTCAGCACGCTGCCCAGCGTGTCCCCCGTGTCCTGGGAAGAGAGCCGCCGGGGCGTCAGAAGCGAGGTGCTCGCCCCGCGTGGCCCGGCCAAAGCACGGAGCCCCCACAGCCCCCCGGAGCCCGGCCACCACGGCCGCGAGGGTCCAGTTTCCCTCCGGCACGACCGAGTCGGCAAGCGAGGCGCCCCGGGACACGCAGGGCACCTCCGCCAGGCACGCACCTGGTCGTCGGACACCTCCACGCAGCGGATGGAGAAGGGAGGCTTCAGGTAGGCAAAGCCCAGGAGCGGCGGCCGCGAGCAGCTGGTGACGAACTGCAAGGGACGGCGGAAACCGAGAGGGGTGCTGCTGAGCGGCCGCTGCCGCGCCTTCCGGCCAGGGGCTCTGGCCTCCCCACCCAGCAGGCGGGGGGGCAGCAGGGCCGGGAGACGGAGCCGGCTCCCCCCCTTCACAAGCACACCGTCTCGCGGCCGCATCTGCACGCAGGGGGTCTCCAGGCAGCCACTGGCAGCGCAGCTGAAAGGATCGGGCCCAAGGAGTAGGAGCAGCCGCAGGACCCAGGTTTACTGCGTCCAAACAGGCCGGGATCGCTAGCCGGCTTTAAAACCGTGGCTTGTTGTCAGTCAGGGAGCCTGCCCTGCTGAGGCCCAGGAAAGTGCAGAGAGCGGGGCAGGGAAGTCGCACGGCGCTCCCCCCACGCACAGCAGCCTGGGCAGCATCAACCCGACCGCGGGCGCCAGCGCACGGCGCGGCCACAGCCCTCCGCTGAGCCATCGTGCGCCGCCTGAAGTGACCGCGGGGGCAGAGGAGGTCGCCTGCGGAGCGAGGCCAGAGTCCGCCACGCTCCGTGCGTCTCCGGAGCGCAGGGCACGAGGGCCTGGCCAGAGGCGGCAGCGCACTGGCTATGCGCACCCCGCGCGCACGCTAACCTTGAGGAACATGGCCCGCTCGTCGGGGCTGAAGTCGTTGGCAAGGATGTCCCAGAGCCACACGATGACCCTGTGGCTGCCGTGAAAGCCGCCGTAATACACGGTGTGTTTCCTGGAAGGGGCAGAGGGGGCCGGTGCTCAGGGGGCCCGGCGTGGCCCAGCCCCCCACGAGGCAGCCGCCCGCGTGCCCCCTGGGGGATCCCGCCCAACGAGCGCGGCGGCTCCGCGGAGGCGGCTGCACCACCGCACGGCGGAGCGCCCCAGGGGCGCCGGAAAGGGCGGCCCAGACGCGGGGGGCGCCGAGGGGGCAGGGCCTGCGGGGGGCACCAGCTCTCACTTCAGGTCCTCCAAGTCGATCTCGGCGTTGTCGCCGGAGATCAGCCGCTGCAGCTCCGGGGCCGAGAAGACGCGGATCCACTCGGGGCGGATGATGGAGCGGAAGCCGCCGATGAGGGCCGCCGTCTGGCTCTTGATCTGGGTGTGCATGCGGAAGTGGGCCATCAGGTGGATGTAGCTGATCCTGCGGGGAAAGGGCCGTCAGCAGCCCCGCAGGCACACGCCCGGCCCACCGGAGGCAGGCGTCGAGGGGGCCGGCGCCCGGCCCCAGAGCAGGCCGGCGGCATCGTGGGCTGGAGGGGCCGCAGCAGGAGCGGGTCCCCCCCCGGCCGAAGCGGCCACCCGGGCAGTGGCCTCTGCCCACTCCTCTTGAACTGCCCCCCACCCCCCAAATAAGCCATCCTGGAAAGCGGGAGGCGTGTCCAGAGGACTTCGCGGGCCTCAGAAAACGCTGCCAGCCGGCAGCCATCCACGGACGCCTCTCCGGGGCAGGGCTTTGGCACCTGCCCCACAAACCCGTCTTTTCAGCCACGTCTCCACCCAGACAGTGGTTGTGGGGGAAAGGGGGCAGGAACTTTCTAGTGAAACTCAGCAGGGCATTTCTCAGCACAGGAGAAAGCAAAGCTGGCATTCTACAGAAGTCGAGGCGCATGCCCGGCTGTGACAGGAAGTCCCTCCCTCAACCCCCGAGACAAGCCAAGCGCCCTAAAAGCCGCCTCAGGTCGCTTTTCTACTGAGAGCTGGGCGCCAATTTGAAGCAAAGCCCCAGAAGGCCCAGCGGCATCCGGCGCGTCAGGCGCCGGGTGCAAAATCGGCCTTTGACGGACTTCCTGACGTGCGGGCTGTGCCAGTGCCAAATTCCTGCAGCCTTCCTCAGGCGGAAGCGGCTCGACACGTCCAGCGGGTCAGCAGGTAGGAAGGCTGGGAAAAGGCCCACACGCAGCGGCCAGAGAGGGGCCAGAAGGCGGGGGGCGGGGGGGCTGCAGCCGAAGGGAGCTCACTTGTTTTCATTGGTCACCGGGATGGTCTTCCCTCCTGGGACGAGTTCATGGCAGACCAGCTGGGGAGAAAGGGGAGGACGGGGGCCTGAGAATGCAAGGCGGGCTGGCGTGCGGGACCCCCCACCCCCGCATTCCGCGCAGGCAGCGGCCAGGAGCAACCCACTAGCCGGAGGGGTGCTGCTCCAGCCAAGCCCCTGGGCACGCAGAGAGCGAGGCTCCCCCTCAGCCAGGGCTCGGGGAGCAGGCGGGGAGCCCTACCTGGCCCATGACGTCCTCGTCGTAGGAGAGCGTCAGGCCCAGGTCACTGATATCTCCGTCGTAGCGCTACGGGAGAGAAAGAGGACGGGGCAGCGAGAGGCACGTGCTCAGCCCGGCTCTGGTTATGGCAGCCTTCGCCAGCCGGGGTGTGGGCTTCAGCTCCCATCAGCCCCAGACAAGCTGGCAAGCGCCCTGAGGCCCCCTCAGAAGGCTCGGTTCCACTGCAGGCGCAAGACCCTCCTGGGAGAATCTGACCGTAGGTCTTGCGTTCAGCTTCTGCCATAGCGGATCAGGAGCTTTCAAGCCTCGCCCAGCTATTTCTGCCGTGGCCGCAAGCATCAGCCGTGCCCTTTCAGCCCCGGCTGTGCCGCCAGCGGGGCGGGTGCGGCAGAAGATGGACCTGCACTGCCCGGTGCGTCTCGGGATGGTCTGCCATGGATCCACCAGCTCCATTCTGTTCTGGCAGCCAAAACAAGTCCCTGGACTCTGAATCTTTCTCACGCTTCACAAATGCCTTTTGCAACTCATCTAAGAAGCAGAGCTGCAAGCTTCTGCCCACTCCAAATCTACGCCATATACTCATAGGGACTAGAAGCTTGATTCAAAAGCATGAAATGACTCCCCACTCTCAAGATGCTGTATCTTTCACTGACTATTGAATGAGGTGCATCACAATTGCAAGGAATGAAGGGAAGATGTGGCTGCCATGAACCCCTGCAGAGCGGGACGCTGCCCGGCATCCCGATAGATTCACAGCAGGGTTTGACTCCCTCGGACGTGTGGAGCAAGAGCCAAGCTCGGCTCCATTCGTTTCCCAAAAACTCAGGCCTCGCTCTTTGTAATGTGCAAAACGCGAAGTCAAGAGTCTCCCTCCGTGACGCGTTGGGGACTCGCCGTGATGGGCTTTCGCACCCTTGTCGGCACGCGGGAAGGTTCCACCGGGTCGGGGTTTCATTAGGAAAAGTGAGCGAGCGAGCTCCTGGCGGGAGACACTTCCCAGCTGCCCTGGCTAGAGGAGCCCCCCCACGCCCCCCCCCGCACACGCCGGGACAGGCGACCAGCGAACCTTGATGGAGGTCAGGTTTTTATAGAACTCGGAGTCCAGGGAGGGGAGTTCGTCCACGGAGCTGTAGAAGACGCTGTGGTGATGCCCGAGCAGCTGGCTCAGGAAGAACGTCGCGAAGGGAACATCCACGACGATTCCCTGGGAAGCGCGAGGGAGCAAACGGGTGAGGGAGAATCCCTGCCCGCCCCAAGACGAGCAAGCTGCCGCCGGAGGCGATGGGCTGGGGGGCCCGGCTCCCTCGGCGCGCACGTGCAGGGCCCACCACGCTGGGGCAGCTGCCCGGTGCGGCTGGCAGCCGCTGTGCTACAGGACGTGGGTGGCCAGAGCGCGGATCGCCAGAAGGGTGGGGCTGCAGCTGCCGGCGGTACCGACCATCGGCCGGGCTGGCCGGGACGTGTGGGGGCTGCAGCCCAGACCGCCCGGCAGCCAGCCTTGCACCCGCGCCGGCCCAAAGCCGTGGAATCCGCCCTACCTCGTAAACGGCTTTCCCGAGCATCTTCCCAACAAACTCGAAGAGCTGGAGGTGGTTCTCGTGGATGTCCGACGTGGGGGACGGGTACAGCCTCTCGTCGCCGCTGGTGGTCTACGCGAGATGCGGCAGGGAGAGGTGAGGGTGAGGGCCCGGGGTGCCTGCAGCCGCAGGAGGCGGACAGAGCAGGGACTCCGGTGGAGGGGCGCGTACCTTGAAGAGGTTGAGGGCGGGGTCAAAGACCTTCTTGATGATCTCCTCCAGGAACTCCTTGAAGACGCCGTCCTGGTCGATGCCGGCCTCGTCCACCCCCAGGTCGTTCACGAACTTCACCCGGATGACGCCCTTCATGGCCGTCTGGGTCTGCCGGCGCAGCTGTTCGTAGCCGTCCTGTGGCGGGAGCAGAGCGGAAGCGGCCCCAAGGCCAGCCAGGGGTGGGGAGGAGGGGGGGAGAGAAACAGGACGGCTCCAGGGCAGAACTTGCTTGCACTCCACTGGGTGTGCCTCGATCGCAAGCCCCAGCGCAGCCTCGCAGGGTCGGCTCTGGCAAGCAGGAAACTCCCCCAGAGGACCAGCGAAACACGCTCGGGAAAGGCCACAGCGGGGCGGCCGGCTTTGCGGCCAGAGCCCTCATGCTCCGTCCCAGCCGCACCTCCCGCCGAAGGGTCTCGGGAATGGAGGCACCCTTCCCTGCCCAAGTCCTGGAGGCCTGCCGGGAAAGGGGGTGAGGCCCGCGGGGGACACCGGGGCCGGATCTGCACGCCGGGCTCTGGGTCCCGTCTTGGGGCCCCGGCACCGCTCGGAGGGACGCCCTGCTCACAGACCTCCAGCATGCGCGACCGGCGGATGGTGATGTGGGTGACGTGCGGCGAGGCGGAGCTGGTCTCCACCAGCCCAAGCTTCTCCTTCTCCTTGGTCACCATGTTCCGGAAGAGGAGGACCCGCTGCCTTGCCGAGGGGGAGAGGCCTCTGAGCAACGCCGGCCGAGCGCCGGCCTCCCCCGAAAGTCGCGTCCACCCCAGAATCCCTTCCCCGGGGGCGAAGCTGACCGGAAACTCACTCCCGCAGGGGGCTGAACTGGCTTCCCCCCGGCCCGTTATCAGCTCGGATCACCAGATTATGGGCTGCCTCCTTGAACTGGAGTATATATGAGTGTATATTTTGAACGCAAGAAGAAAACACAATTTGGGGTAGGACTTGAGAGTGATGCCTACAATTTAAAAAAAATCTTTCTATTTATACATGGCCTTTGCACAAATACGAGCAAGGCAGCGAGTGACAAGAAGATAAGGCACGAAGGCACAGAGCGAAAAAGCCATATTCCTCCATGAGAGCCACATTCGAACCCGCGTTCGCAACGGTGGCCAGATTGAAGAAATGGCTTCCCGGAAGCTGAGAGAGCAGGGACTGGTCTTCTCATCAGCTTGGCTCGCGAGCCATGGGGATGCTTTCAACTACAACACCCAGCGTCCCCATCTACTGGCACGGCTGGCTGGCTGGCTGGGGCTCGGGGAGCTGAAGTCCAGGGCAGCTGGAGGGCATGAGGCTGAGGAGGGCTGGACCACGTGCCCCTGGAAACGCGCGCTCGGCCCTGCGGGCCACCCGCCCCGGCCTGCCCGGGCCGCCCCACTCACGTTCTTGTGGGGGATGACGTGGGGCATGTACTGCAGCACCAGCTGGGCCCGCTTCCGGTCCTTGTCGAGCTCCTGGAAGAGCACGCTCGGCTTGAGGTCCCTGGGGGGAGAGGCGTGCGGTGGCAGGGGGCTCTGGAGGGCAGGCCGGCTCGGCCTCAGTCCCCGGGTGCAAAGCACGGGGCTGCAAGGCCCAAGGCCACCCGGAGCGCCAGCCGGGGCCCCCGCGGGACGGCTCGGGGAGCCCAGGACGCGCACGGCCGTGTCTGGGGAACAAACCCCGGGGGGGGGGGCCGCCTTGAGGGCCGCGCGCCGGAGGAAGCGGCTCACTTGCGCAGCCAGTGGTCGTCGGGGGCGAAGCGCCGGCGGCAGTCGCGCTCGTACAGGACCATCAGCCAGCCGTGGACGGAGTGGAAGAGCTCCAGGGTCTCCCCCTTGGCGTTTTCTGTGAGCGAGGCAGGAGAGGAGGGAGGACGCACGACGCTCGGGGAGGAAGCCTCCACCGAGCGCCCACCTGCCCGCCCCGCGAGCCAAACCGCTGCCGGAGGAAGAGCCGGGCGCAGAGCCTGGCCGAGGCAGAAGGGCTCACCCACGATCCCGTCCCAGATCATCTTGAACACGAAGGAGTTCAGGAAGGACGAGATGGTGACGAGCTCCTCCAGCTTGAACGAGACCTGCTCTTCGTAGACTTCGATGTCGTCGAGGATCCTGGGCCGGGGGAGAAAAAGGCCAGCTCGCCCTTCGCGAGGGTCTCCCGGGGCCGCGGCAGCCCTCCTCCCCGCTCCCGGGGGCCCAATCCTGCCCCGGCACATCCTCCGCTGGCAGGCTTGGCACGAGCGCCCTGGAGAGACCCGGGGCCCGCCCTGGAGCAGAGGGCCAGCAGTCCCGGGGACGCTCCTTGCCGTTACGGCCCCCTCCCCGGGAGCTGCCAATGGGAGCGCACAAAGCCCGGTCCCCGCAGCCCGAGGCCGTCCTGCGCTTCCCCCGACACGCCTGGGACCCCCGCAGCGCCCCCGCACGCCAGCGGCTCACGTGATCAGGTGGCGGGAGCAGTCGCAGAAGAGCATCAGCATGGCCAGCAGCGGCTTGGACTCCTCGGTGTCGTGGTTCAGGCACTCCAGGAAGAGCTTCAGCCCGCCCTGGGGGCCCAGCTCGCAGATGAAGGCCCACAGCTTGGGCAGGAGGTCATCCAGGTGGGTCAGGCCTGCCAAGAAGCAGCGTGGGGGGGGAGTCCGGGCGCGAGGCTGCCGGCTGCGCCTCGGCCCCGGCCCTGCAGCCCCCACAGGCCAAACCGGCCCTCCGCCCTGCCCTGGCCAGCGCCCATGGGCCTCGCCCTCTGCCCCCCAGGCTTCCACCCCCGCCAACCAACCGGTGAGGATCTGCAGGCGGATCTGCGTCAGGGTGGTGAGCGCCACCTGGTACAGGACGCAGACGCCGCAGACCTTCTGCACCTCGGCCGAGTCGACCCGCTTGCCGCCCACGGGCTTCAGGATGTTGCGGACGGAGGCGGACTTCTGAAAGGCTCGCTTGAAAAGACCTGCCGGGGCAACGGGGGCAGGTCAGATCGACAGCTCCTGGGAGAGAAAGGGCCCCGGCCACCCCCCCCCTTCCCCCCGGGGGGGGGCGCCCCCTTTGGGCGGGGGGGGGGGGGGGGGCGAGGTGCCTGCACTGCCGCACACTCACTCTTCACGGGCAGGCTGCTCTGCGGAGAGGCCGGCGGCCCCAGGGGGCGTGGGGCCTCGGGGTTCTCCAGAAGCTTCTTGCTGAGGACGTCGCTGAAGAAGATGCGGATCAGGCGGATGCCCCACAGGTGCTGCAGCTGCTTGGTGAGGAGGGGCATCGACTCGTTCAAGCTGGGCGGGGGAGAGGCACGGGGCGGGGTGGGCGGGTCAGCACTGCGCCAGGCGAGAGGCGGCTGATGCTTCCCGGGGCGCCTCGCAGGAGGCGGGTGGGTGGCCCCAACGGCTATTCAGGGCTTTCGGGCAGGGAAGGGTCCCCTACCAAAGGCGCAGCGCCAGAGGACAGCTGGGGGCGGGGAGCCCGTGGGGCATCGTGGTGCCCAAGCGCTGGCTGCCCTAGAGCGCCCCCCCCCCCGCAGGAGTGCAGCTCTGCTGGCAAGCTGCCGCCTCGTCCCCGGCCAGGCCGCTGGGCCCCCGGTGCGGGGAGCTGGTTTGGAAGGAGCCCACGAGCCTGCCCCCCGGCCCCTCCTGCGTATGAGGCATGGGCCAGAGCCCCCCGCCCCCCCAGCGCTCACCCATAATCCACCGTCTGGGAGAACCAGCCGAGCGCGGGGTGCCAGTGCGTGAGGTTGGACTTCTTCTGGGAGACGTAGCGCTGGCAGTACGAGAGCATCTGGGTGAGCACCCGCACGAAGCGCGCCGTCTCCTCCGCCAGCACCTTGTCGTGCAGGGAGCCCAGGTGGATGAGGTTGCCTGGAAAAGGGCAGCGCCTCAGCAGCAGCGGCCGCGGGCAGGGCGGCCCCGGGGGAGCAGGCGCTTCAGCTCCCCGGGCCCGAGGCCTCCTCGCCCTGCGCGACGGCCGGCAAAGGGCCACGGGGTGGAGCCGGTGCCCGGAAGCGGGGCCTCGAGCCCCTCCTCTGCACCGCCACACGCCGACGCCACAGGGGGCTCACTCCCTCCTCCAGAAAACACGGCGGAGCCTCAGCCCGGGTCTTCGATTCACACGGGAAAAGCACTGGAAGGGAAGCGCCGAGTGCTGCCCACCCCGAGAAAACCGAAGGACGCTTGGGCTCTGTTTAAACCCAGGCCACTGACACCGTTTCTCCAATCCTGCGCCCACCACTCTGAATCTCTGTGACTCAGCGGAACTAAGAGGGCTAGAAACTTGACTGAAAGAATTTACATTTCCAAAAAAACCTGTCTTTTACGGCCATGTTCTGCGGGCATTGCGGTATGTGGGGTTTGCTTTATTCTACTCGTTTATTGAAACCACCCAAGACGCTTGTAGGGGACTGGATAGAACAGCTTTTAACAGACAGACAGTACTGCAGAAAAAGTCATGTCTTTTGGCATCAGACTCTCCCCCCCGCCCCCCACACGCTATGTAGCTGCCTGCCTTTACTTGATACCCATGGCTGGGGGAATGGCTGGGGGGGGGGGTCACACTCACCCAGAAGGCAAAGCGTGTGGCTTCCTTCCAAACACACACAGACGTCTCTGCACTGCTCTTCATGGCTCAAGAACAAGATAAACTTGCGCAGGAGGTCATGCGCTTCTATCACGGCTAGGCGCTGAAAGGAAAGCGGGATCTTTTTTAGCTGCCTAATTTATAAATATGCATACCCTCCCTCGTCAGGCAAGCTCCCAGCCAGCCATGCAGGCTGCAGGACACTGGGAGTTGTAGTCCAAGACCTCTGGAGGGCGCTTGAGCCAGGGGAGCAGCGCTCCACCAGGGCCGCCGCGCGGTCGTGTGCCTGGCGGAATCGGCTACCTCGGGAGTAAGCGTAGCCAGATGCGTCGCGAGAGCAGGAACAGACATGATGTGGATCAGGAAGGACCGCAAGAGATTGTCAGAGAACTGAGCCGCGACGACGGGGCTGGGGAGAGAAGATGCACAAGGGACAAGGGAAGGAAGCGAGTCAGGGCGTGTGGTTTCTGCCACACAGAAGAAGGAGGGGCAGCTACTCTCATCCAACCGAGGGGCCGCTTCTGGACAGCCTCCCAGGGCACGCGTGAGCTTCCCAGAGAGAGGGGACACGTCGCAGCCGAACGCAGCAGGCCGAGCCCACCTCTCCCCAGACCTGCTTCCCCGCCTCAGGTGCGCCGCTTTCCCCGTGGAACTCACCGCAGTGCAAGAGAAAAGGCGGCGGTTAGGGTGCCTTTGGAGAAGGAAGGTCTGGATCTCGCCAGGCCATTGGTCAGCAAAATCTGGAAAGGAAGCATCCGCAAGCTGGCGGGGCGGACGAGGCACTCGCGGAGGCAGAGAGGAGGGCCCGCAAAGGCCCCTCTGGAACAGCCTGCCCGCCTGCCCCGAGGGCCCGGGACAGCCCGTGCTTTTGCAAGCCCCGCTGCAGCCACGCTGCAGGTGGCGCGATAACCCCAACGAGGGCTCAGTACGGACTCAGGCAACAGAACGACTTAAGAGTTTGAATATGGGCCGAGCGTGAAGCAAGGGCTGTTGCTGAGCCATGGACTGCGTTGTCGGAACCCAGCTGCCCCGTGCAACCCCTGAAGAGAACCCTCGGGTTTGCAGCTGGGTTGCGGACTGTGGGTTGTGCCCCACGGTGTGCTCTCCCGGAGCGATTCGGTCAACACGGGAGCCCCCTCTTCAGCAGCGACCCACCGGCTGAACCGGCACTGCGGGGCCCTCCGGCTGCCCGAGCCCCTGTGAACCGTCTCCCCCACTCCCCTCGGGAAAGGCCGGCCAGCGGGAGAAACGTGCTGAAAAGGCAAACGGCGGCAGCGCCAGGCCAAACCCCGCCGCTCTCAAGACAAGCCGTCGGCAAGCCTTGTATTTACATCCCCTCACAGGTGAACAACGACATTGACGACTGGCCCTGAGCACGAGGCACTGAGAGCAACGCGAAGGCGAGCAGGGGCCAACCTGGAGCACGGAATAGAATCCCTTCTGGTTGAGGTGTCCCATGATGTTCGCACAGATGTGGCTCATCGCGGGCCGCAGCGCTTCTCCTGCAAAAGGAACCCTGCTGAAAAGCACGCCCGACTCCAACGCCCCGGTGGCAGGGCGGGCATCCTGGCTCGCCCAGGGACGTGGGCCACTTTATATTGTGATTTATATTTTGATTTATATCCTGCCTTTTTCCTACAAAGGGCTCAAGGCAGCTTACATCATTCTCCTCCTCCATCTTATCCCCACCACAACAACCCTGTGAGGCAAGTTGGGCTGAGAGTCTGTGACTGGCCCAAAGTCCCCCAGTTGGCTCCATGGCTGAGCAGGGACTAGAACCCAGATCCTCTGAGTCCCAGTCCCAGGCTCTTCACCACTACGCCACACTGGCTCTATACACCACACTGGCTCTTACAAGCCAGGAGTTGAGCAATTCTTTTGACCAACTTCCAGTGGCTGGGGAAAACGGGTAGAGAACTTTTTAAATGCTCACATCGTTGATGTTTTGATAGGCATCGTGCAACAATAAAGCATTGTACTGCTACAACAATGCCATTCTTTTAAAAACAATACATGGATTAAAAATAATCCGAGGCAAACAAACTGCCAGCATGAAAGGAGCCAGAGACGATCGGGCCTGTTACTTCGACTGTGGCAGCTGAGTTAAGGCTTGCCCTTCTGCCTTCGAAGGCAGCCGGATACGGTTCGATTCTGGGCAAGAGAGAGATGCTGAGCTGCAGCGAGGCGACGGGAATGCTCTTGGTGCCTGACAAACTGCCAAGCCTTTATAGCACAGCTATTCCGAACCTGGTACCGTCCCGATGAGTTGGACTACAACTCCCAGCACCCACCAGTCAGTGGAACTGCAGCCCAAAACACGTGCAGGGGGCAGGTCAGGCAAGGCTGGCCCACCCAATATCTGGATCAGGCGGCCTTGGCATTTCGCGGGGTCACAGGACCCGGCTGCCCGGGGCCCGGAGGGCAGAGCAGGCACTCCCACCCACCTTTCCCACGCAGGATTTTCCACGTAGACGTGTCTGTGAAAGTCACCAGCATCGTGAGGTGCAAATTCACCAGCTTTGAATCTTGCAGGATGTCCGGCTGGCAAGAGAACCAGAGACACACGTGGGAGGCGCCCGCCCGGCTGCAGGCTGCCCGACCCACGCAGGCAGCAGCCCGGCGCCCGGCCCTACCTTGAGCAGCTTCAGAAACTCACAGCTCAGCCACAGCACAGCCTTCACCTGCTTGATCCACAGCAGCATCAGCTCCTTGGAAAGGGCCAGCGACACGTACCACACCTGCGGGCCGGGGGACGGGAGAAAACCGCCCGGGCGAGTTGGCAGGAGGCAGGGGCGCTGGCCTTCAGGCCTGTGGGCCAAAGCCAGCCCATCCGGCATCCCAGAACAGCCCCCGCCCCCCCCAAAGGCCCCCTGCCTTTCCCCCAGCCCCCAGCCACCCTTCTCCTACAGGATCCCCCCCCCCCACACACACACACATTCTTCTAGCTGTTGATCGTGTGCTGGTTTCCCAATTTTCCCTAATTTTCTGCCCTTCTGGAGGACTGGAATTCTTCTCCTGAGGTTTGATTACTGGCATCGAAAGTCGTAAGATAATGCACGTGGGCATATTTGGTGTTTCCCAGCCTGCCTCATGTCCCTGGGCTGCCCAACTTGGAACTCAGCCCCAGGAGCTTCTCAGCGCGACATACGCACCTCCGTGTGCGCGCGCACCCCCTCCCCACCACACGCCCGCAGGAGACGGTGCTGTGGAGGTGGCCAGTGGTGCAGATGATGCGCAAGTATTCTGCACCTCTCCTCCCGGGGCCAGATCAGCGACTATCGCAGGACCGCCCAAGCCCAGTTTCCTTCGCGAGCCCGTGCGAAGTGCGCCGCTTACCTTGGGATCGTTCTCCGCGTCCATGCTGGCGAGGATACAGCGGCACAACTTTTCAAATCTCTGCAGCAATTTGGGCGGGGGAAAAGAGAGGAGTCTGAGCTGGAATGGTCACAACTTCGTCGACCTGCCCCAGGCGCCCCTGCAGCCACCCGGTGTCCCCCGCCCAGCCCCGCCACTGACTGATTCCTGCACTTCCTGATCTGGGAACGCCTCCAAAGCGGGAAGCCCAGAGCAGCAGCTCCTTCAGGGACAGAGGGCAGCCACCCCCGGAGAAAAGCTCACTCACTTTACACGTCAGTAGCTCTCTCAATCACCCCAAAGACAAAAAAGCACAGCAGAGACCCCCAACACCACTACAGCAGGAAAGCAGGCGGGTCCCAGGCAGCAGGGGTGGATACAGAAGCACAGCCATAGCCCTCCCTGAAGGAAGGGGTTTGCAGGTCTCCATGCGTGTCCCGAAACCCGAGCAGTCCCCCTGCAGAACCCAGGCGTGCTTTTTGGGAATGCTGTGCGCGTGGGCAAGCCAGGGCCCGCAGCCTCTCTCGACTCTGCTCAGGGCCACTGTGCTCAGCCTGCATTGCAAGGACGCCCCCTCCCCACCCCCTGCCTGGAACCCCCAGCTTGATGCTGCCAGTGCGGCCGCCACCTCCACAAACACGGGGAACCGGCAAGGCGCACAAGAACGGCCGCGGCCACCCCGCCCCTGCACAAAACAAGCGTACCTCTTTGTCTTCCTGCATCCGAAAAACAAAGAGCAGCTTCCGGGCGGTTCTGAAGATGGAGAGGGCTGTCCTTTTAACAGGGCCAGGCCCACCGGCATCAAAAAAGTCGTCCACTTCTTTCCTGTGGCACAGGAAGGAAAATCAGGAAGTCTAGGCAAGAGGTGCAGAGCGACAAAGGAGAGGCTGCTGGACGCAGGTGAGGCCACCATGCCTCCTTCCCGGGTCCCTCATTTCTGAAGGAGAAGATGGAGGAGGAGGAGGAGGAGCTGCAAGCGGTCTCTGCCTCCGTGGGAGAGATGCCAGCCCAGAGAGGGTGGCCGACGTTCTCCGCCTTGCTCTGCAGGGCGGTACAATGAGGCACTGGCCAAGGTCCCACGGTGGGCAAAGGGCCCGTCCGTGGCCCAACCGCACTGCTGTCCTGTTCGCTCAGAGGAAGCAGGCCAGCTTCAGGGCCAGCGCAAGCGCCGGCAGTGGAAAGGGCTTCAGCCCCACAAGGCCAGCAACTCCCAAGGAGGCACACACGGCTGTCCCGCACACCTGATCTCCCGCTGGAGCCGGCAGCGGCACAGAAACCGCCGGACGAGGGCCTGGATCTGCACGGCGGCTCGCTCGCGCTCCTTCAACCCTCGGCGCTCCTCTCGGGCCTGGCGTGCTTTGTCAAGGAACTGAGCCTTGGATATCTGGGTTGCGCTGAACATGCTCGTGGCAGGCGATTGTCTGTAGAAGGGGATGAAGGGCCGAAGTAGAAATGTGTTTCTTCTTATTGTTACCCTTCCGCCATTTGCTTGGTGGAAGGGTGAAGAAGAAATCAAAGCACTGGTGCTGCCTCCCTCAGAAATGTAGACCAAAGAAAGTGCACGCATTGTAGTTATGAGTTTTATATACTGCTTTAAAGCCAATGAAATACCCCAGTGGCAAACAACACAAACAACAGCAGCAGCACAACATTAAAATCTTAGCATGAATGTATACTAACAAAACTGAGCTCGGTCGGAGAAGACTTGCTTAAATAGGAATGTCTTTTGCAGGCACTAATGGCGATGCTGTTGCCCGACATCCACAGGTAGGGAGCTCCCCAGAGGCACTCTGCTCCATGTGGACCAGAGGACTGCCAGGAGGCCTCACCTGACGACCTCAGTGACCGGACAGGTCTCAGCTCTCCTGTTCCCAAGTTATATAGGGTTACACTCATATACCCTAACAACGAATAATAAAATATACCCTAGCGGCAAACCTTTAACCTAGCCCAGTAGCTGCTAGACTGCAAGTGCCATTCCCATGCTGAAAAGAGACAAGTCCTACTCACTGCTGGTTTACTGCTTTCTATACTGGCTGCAGCACCTAGGACTAATCCCAGAGGCAGCCTGAAACAGAGCACAATTCTTAGAACAGGAGCGTTGCGGGTGGGGGGATAAGGCCACTGGGGCCCATCTCTACAAAAGAGCGGCAAGCAGCCCAGCATTTGTCACTTAAGGCAGGTATGCCAGACTCACCCAGAGGTTGCACTTTTTGCAGCAAAGGTGCCCAGCAGGGATCACCTGTGGACAAGCATGGTGCGCGCTCACGCCAAACGGTGCCCTCCTCAGAGGCCTTCCTTTGCTGCTGCAGAGAGCGCCACATTCATTCCAGACACCTTAAGGTCACACTCCTCAGGGGCTGCTTTTCTCAGCTGCATATCATCCCAGAGACAGACCGAGCAAGCATGTCAGAAGGGAGAGATTTCAGAAATACAAGGTCTCGCATGAACGACGGCAAACCCAGACATTTGGACCACAAGCACATCAGAGAGGCAGACAAATACGCGTATTTTTATGCTTAAGCTTGTGAACAACGCTGCATGAACTCAGCAGCACAGACTGGGCCAAGAGAGCGACTGACCCAGTAAGGGCAGCCCCTCCAGCCGCACAGCACCAGCTATCTGGACACCCGTCGGAGCAGCCGTGCCCCACAGGCGCTGCCGAGCCCCACTGACTCCAGCCCCCATCATTCCCAGCCAGCCCGTCCACTAGCTGAGGCTTGCAAGGGAACCTGCAGCCCAGCCCGCCCGGGGGTCCCGGGCTGGAAACGGCCGGGATGGGCGCGGGCTCCGGTTCGAATGCCACCTTCTCGGCCAACGCGCCGGGAGGGCACCGGCAACAGCCTCCGCCTCCCACGGGGTGTGTGGGGGTGGCGTGGCTCGCTGTCCTACCTTGCAGGGCCGTCGTGGCGCTCCAGCAGAGCGGGCGGCGGCGGTGTGGAGCCTTCGACCGCGCCGGGGAGCCGCCAGGCGCCCTCGGAGCGCTGCCCGACCGCGGCGCGCCGCCCCCGAGCTGCCTCCCCCTCGGAGCACCCAGGACCATAGAGCCGAGACAAACACCGCCGCTTCCGGACTGTCGGAGGCAACCCGCATTGCCCCGGAAGCCTCCCTCGCGGCCTTCTCTATGGCCGCAGCGCGGAGGAACGCGGAGGCTCTTCGGCCCTAGAGCGGCACACCACGTGCACTTCCGGCCCGAGCCAGGCGACGGCGTGGCGGCCCCTCTCCGGGTCCGCCCGGAAACGGGGGCGGGGTGCCTGCGTTCCGCGCGCCCGCGGTCCGGGCCGCGCCGCCCTGCCTGCGCCTGCGGGGCGGCGCGGGAGGCGGCGCAAGGCAGGCCGGAAGCCGGGGGCGGCCCGAGCGCGTCCCCGCCGCTTCCCTCCTCGCTCGGGAGCGTCGCAGGACCGTCGCGGCCGAGGGCGGCCGAGGGGGCTGTTCATGGTGAGTGGGCGCCGATCCGGGGGCGCGGGGCCCCGAGCGGGCAGGGCGAGCGGGCCCGGGGCAGGGAAGTGTCCCTCCTGCCCCGGCCCCGGCGGCTGCCTCCCGCCCGGCACTGCGGGCTCCGCTCCGGCGGCCTGCGGAAGGGGCCCCGGGGAGCCGCGGCGGGCCCGGGCGCGGGGCGCGGGGCGCGGGACGGGTGTGAAGAGATTCCGCGGCGAGGCGGGCGAGCTCGTCCCCACGAAATGCCGGGACACGTTGCTCCGGCTCCCGAGCAGCCCGTCGCCTCCCTCCCGGCCCCAGGACCGTCCCGTTGTTCCCCATGGGCGTGCGCGGCTTTGCTGTTCGCGGCGCGGGGCCGGGCGGCGGGCTCTTTCCGCAGGGGGAGGTATGCACGTTGTCCGTCAAGCTGAGCTTGCTGGCATCGCTTCCCTGTCGTGAGGATACGGGTGGGAGCACGTGTGCTGCCCGATTCTCTGGAGGAGAGGCGAGGGAAGAAAGCGGGTCGGCCCGGCCCGCTTGCGATCTGACGCTGAAAGGCGAGGTGGGCACCCCGGCGTGTGTGGCCTGAAGCGCCCGCCGGTTTCGCTTTTGACGCTTCCCCGCCCTGGCGCACCGTCCCCCCGTGGCAACGTTTGCTGTTTGCGTTTTAATCCGGCTGTTCCAGTTCTGGCTGGCCTTCCCGTCCGTCCACCGCTGCGATGGCCCCTTCGTGGGGAGAAGGTGGCGGCGAACGGAAGGGGGCCGCCGACTGGCTTGCAGACCTCAAGTGGGGAAGACGCACGCAAGGCAGGGGGTGAATTAGCCACGTGGATCGGATCGGTGGAAGGAAAAGCCTCTCCAGACCACCCCTTGTTGACCTGCGGGACTCACTACATGCAGCAAGACGCAGGGATGCGTGCAGGGAGTTATGGAGGGTTAGGGCATGTGAGAAGAGGAGATCCCCGAGTGGCAGAAACGGGCAATGGGGAAGGAAGTGCAAGAAAGGTCTGCTAGAGGAGGTGGGGTTCCTCTACGTGTGGATTTTCTGAACTCTTTGAGGGAGTGCCTGGATGAAAGAGCGAGATGAGGCGCCTGTGCTTGCGTGCAGCTATTGGCGTCGCTTAAACAAGAGCGCCTCCGTGTTCTGGCGTTGGCTTGCTTTGCAAGTGGCTCTGAGGTTCCCTGGGAGGAAAGGGCAGAGAGAACGGGAAAGAGAGAGGACCGCGCCCTGGCCCTGCTCTGCCTCACGAAGGAGCCCAGTCTTGCCCTGCTGTGGCCTTGCCAGGACATCCGCGCAAGGGTGTCTCAGCCGGGGCAGCGCTGCTCCCCCCTTCCCTTCCCGTGGGGCCATTCTCGGAGCCTCCCTTTCGCTTCTGCCCTGGGATCAGGTGGCAACCGAGCTCTCTTTTCCTGGTAACAGATCCCTCGTAAAACATTCAAGCCCTGGCGGCTCGCTTGCCTGCCTGCCTGCGATTCATTACGGATTCATATCCTCCACATCCAGGCGGATACCGTAGGTGCTGCCAGAAAGGCCACCCACCCCTCGTGTAGGGTGCTCTCATTCACATTAGGGCGGGAAGGGGGGTTCATGTCCCCCTCCGCATAGGCTTAAAGTTGTGGTAATCACACGGTTCTAAGCTGGTTGCTGATCTCGGCTTATTGTTAGCGCAAAAGCCTGACCTGGCCTGATTTGCTAAAAAAGGAACATTATGGGCCATGAATCGCCCACGTTGTTAGCTGCTTCATCTCTGCCTTGCCGCTTGCTGGGTCCGGGAGAGGGTCGCTTCTCCGCCTGGGTGCCCCGGGCAGCTTGGTCCATTGCAGAGGGAAGCAGACGGATCAGTGTGGAGGTCAGTGTTCCTCGGCCGGGCCCTCTTCCGACCTGTAGGGCTACAGCTGCCCGCGTCTGCCCCACGGCCCCCTTTAGGACCCATTGGGAAATTGAGACAGCGCCGTGGGGGGCTCCACATGATGTCTCCCCGTTCCCAGCACTGGGAACGGTTTCTGTTAGGTCCCCTCCTGCCCATGCCTGGTGGAAGCAGAGAACGGGTCGCATCGGCTAAGCAGGGAAAAATAAAGAGGCCGGGCCGTTGTCTTAGCTGCCCTGAGGAAGATCTGACTCACACATGCCTTCCTTGGGTCTAATGCTCGGCCGGCCGGGAAGCACTCGCTCCAGGGAAAGGAGGCCTCGTGTGTGGCCTTCCAGGATGAGGTGTGGAGGTGAATGGGCCACTTCCAGATGGAGGAAGCCAAGAGATGAGTCAGCCTGGAAGACAAGCTCAGCATTGACCAGCCACCAGGCAAGCTGGGCTGTAGAGCCGAGTGGCCACCTTCGGCCATTTTCACTCCCAGGCGGAAAGAGCTCGTCCTTCCCCTCTGCTTCCAGTGTCCCACGCAGGCTGGCGTGCAGACTTTCTCTGCATGCGCTCCAAGAAACTGGAAAGGGTCAGTGGCCTCGTCTCTTCACTGAAAAGGGGTTTTGTAGTGTGACTGCACCGCGAGAAAGTACACGGAAAGCAGCTGGGCGGAAGTGTTTGCAAACGGTGTCGCCGCGTTTCTCGCTAGGGCGCGACCTGCAGGCGCTGCAAAGCATTCTGGGCCCAGAGGTGCAGCCCCCGTTTCCCGGGACCGCGGGGCCCTGCGGCACCGGAAGGACGGGGCTGGTGACAAGGCGCAAGGCCGCCTCCCTCTCCTGCCGAAGGCCCCTTTCCGTGGCCTGCTGCGGGCCCCGTGCATCGGGCTTCAGGAGGCCTCACGCTGTGCGTGCCGGCATGCCCCCCCCACCCGGTGCCCTCCAGATGCGCTACACTACAGCTCCCATAATTTCCCAGCCAGCACATGGGAGTTGCAGTCCAGCCCACCTGCAGGACACGCCGTTGCCTGTCCATCTCGCCGTTTCCTCCGTGCCTGGAGCCCGGGAAATGACCCCAGCGCCGTCCTCCCGCTGCAGGAAGAGATGTCTGGAGAGACGGTGGTGAGCGTGACGGTGCCGGCAGCCACAACCCGCCCCACCTCCTTCAAGGGCGCCAGCCCGAGCTCCAAGTACGTGAAGCTGAACGTCGGCGGGGCCCTGTACTACACCACCATGCAGACGCTGACCAAGCAGGACACGATGCTCAAGGCCATGTTCAGCGGCCGGATGGAGGTCCTCACGGACAGCGAAGGTAGCGGCCTCCCGGCACAGAGGGGCTGCGGGGGGGGGGGGGGGCAGCCACGGGGCAGGGCGCTTTCCGAGCTGCCAAGGCAAGGCTCCGTGGGCCCAGCCATGGGCATCGCCTTCGAGGGACGCTCTGGCTGTAGGACGGGTCGCCGCCTGCGGGAAGCGCTTCATCCCAGAGCAGCCGGGAAGGCAGGCGGCCTTGGCCTCCCTCTAGGGAGGGCCCCCGGCAGGCTCTCCCGGGGGCCTCGGAGGCTGGGAAGCGAGGCAAGCTCCAGCTCCCGGAGCGTGTTTCCCTTCCTGTGCCCCCAGGGAGAGCAGCAGGGGAGGGAGTGAACCGCAGGGCCACCCTCGGCCACCTCCTGCTCCTTCTCCGCCAGGCGACCGCTGGCCAGGAAGGGGCGCGGGCAGCACTCCAGGGGGCCCCTTTAGTCCCGGACACGTGCTCGGCTTCGCAGCGACGTGGGTGCAGGCCTCCCACCGTTTCCAGCGTTCCCTCCCTAGCCAGCTCTGCTGGGAAAAGGCAAAACGGGCAGGGGGGGGGGGACTGGGGCCATTTCCTCCTTGTTCTGTTAGGGGCCCCTCACGACGCGCCTGGTCAGCGACGCAGGAGCGTGTCGGAGTCCAGTTGCGGGGAAGAACCGACGCCGAGCCCGTCGCGCTCTGGGGCTCGCTCTGCCCTTATTTGTCAGCGATGAGCGCTGGGCCCACTCCAGCTTCCCTCCCTCCCTCCCTCCTGTGAGCGCATTCTTGTCTTGCTGCCCACGACTGGACTCCAGCTCAGTTTATGGAAAGTGGGGCCCCGCTGCCTGACACTGAGCTCGCGGAGCAATTGCTGGGGAAGGAGCCGCGGCTGCCCTTCCGCTGGGCTCCAGGCGAAAGCGCCAGATGCCGCAGGGAGCGGCCGAACGCGGTCAGCGGCCCCTCGGAGCCTTTTGGCGCCGTCTTCCAACTTCCAGAGGAGTGGCTTCGACAGGCCGCTCGCTGGAGGCCTCCAGACATGAAGGACTCATAGACGAGCTGTTCCGTGTCACCAGGCCTCCCACGCGCGAACAGGCCGTGCCCCGAGCCAGCGCTGCCCGGTCCTCCTAGCCCGGTGCTGCGGGCACGGGCCGGCAGCAGCAGCCCTCAGTTCTGGGCAGGGCTCTTTGGGAGACGCTGCCAGCGGTGGGGGCAGCTGGTCTTTCTCCATGCAAAGCAGCTGCCCTGCAGCGCCTGCCAGGCCCCTCACGCAGCAGAGCCAAGCGGTATAATGGAGGCAAAGCCCCGGCGCTCACCTTTCCCCTGGGGGCGATTCTCGCTCAGCACCGGCAGGCAGCTCTTGCAGCCCTGCTCGGGCCGCTGTGGGCGCGCGCCTGCTGGTGACGGTTAGGGCCGGTGGCTGCTCACTCTCCCGTGTGTGTGCCTCTTCTGCCCGCTCCCAGGCTGGATTTTGATCGACCGCTGCGGCAAGCATTTCGGGACCGTGCTGAACTACTTGCGGGACGGCGCGGTGCCCCTCCCGGAGAGCCGGCGGGAGATCGAAGAGCTGCTGGCGGAGGCCAAGTATTACCTGGTCCAAGGCCTGGTGGACGAGTGCCAGGCTGCCCTGCAGGTGAGCGTCCCTCCTGTCCGCCGGGGTCCCCCGCCCAGTGCGGAGAGGCGCAGGCGTCGCTCTCGCGCGGGGACACGGCCAGGCTGCTGATGCTGGGTCCATGGCTTCGCACCCCTTTTCACTGGGGGGGGGGCTTCCCTCTCTCCCTCCGGCGCATGTGGGAAGGGGGGGCAAGCAGGCGCCTGGCTCTCCAGGGCAGGCCGCCTCCCGCTCTGGCTCTGACTGCCACTCCTGTCCGGCAGAACAAGGATGTCTACGAGCCGTTCTGCAAGGTCCCCATCATCACCTCCTCCAAGGAAGAGCAGAAGCTGATTGCCACTTCCAATAAGGTGAGCACGCGCGGTCCCCTTCCTTGGGGCCGGGACTCGGCTGGCCACTCGGCCCCGCTCTGCTCCCAGGGGGCTTCCGCTCGGGGGGGCCGTGCCATGGAGCGCTCCCCTGACGCGCGTTGCCGTGTTCCCACAGCCAGCGGTCAAGTTGCTGTACAACAGGAGCAACAACAAGTATTCCTACACCAGGTAGGCACCCCCCTCCCGGCCCCAGCCAGCCAGCGGGGAGGGGCACCCGGCACGCTGCCCGGAAGCGGGGCCCGGAGCTGTGCCCGGGAGACCGGAAGGCTGGGGCCGGGCAGGGGTCCCAACTCTGCCCGGCCGTCGTTCCTTGCAGCAACTCCGACGACAACATGCTGAAGAACATCGAGCTCTTCGACAAGCTGTCGCTGCGCTTCAACGGGCGGGTGCTCTTCATCAAGGACGTCATCGGGGACGAGATCTGCTGCTGGTCCTTCTACGGGCAGGGCCGCAAGATCGCCGAGGTGTGCTGCACCTCCATCGTCTATGCCACCGAGAAGAAGCAGACCAAGGTGGGTGGCGCGCGGCCGGGGGGGCCCCCTCCGCCGCAGCAGCCCGATCCGGTGCGGGAGGCACTCCGGGGGCGGGCAGAGCCAGACGTCCACGCGCCGCAGCCTCGCCTGCTCGCCGCCATGTGGAGGGGGGCTCTTGAATGTGGGGGAAGAGCGGCCACAAGCCACGACCAGGAGGGGGCACGAGGTGTGGCGACAGTCGGGCGTCCCCAGGGAGCCGGGTGGGGGCTCCGGGGGGTCCTGGCTGCAGGTCCTCCAGGGCGGCGGCACCGCCTGCTCCCAAGTAAGACGTGGAAGCTGCCTTGGCGCACATCCCCGGCTCGTCGTGGCGCTTTCGGGCGCGTCGCTCGCATGCATCGGCGCAGGCGGAGCGCTGCCCCCGGGACTGGGGGGGGGCAGCCAAGGCGGGAGGCAGGCTTGGAGCCGGGGAGTTCTCTCACCTCCGCCACTTGGGTACCCAGGTTGAATTCCCCGAAGCCCGAATCTACGAGGAGACGCTGAACATCCTGCTGTACGAAGCCCAGGACGGGAGGGGCCCCGACAACGCCCTGCTCGAGGCCACCGGGGGGGCCGCCGGCCGCTCGCACCACCTGGACGAGGAGGAGGAGCGGGAGCGCATCGAGCGCGTCCGGCGGATCCACATCAAGCGCCCCGACGACCGGGCGCACCTGCACCAGTGAGCACCTCCGTGGCCCCCGCAGGCCCGTCCGTCCGTCCAGCTGGCTCAGCCCTTCATTGGGACCGCGCCACCCAGCCTCATTCCAGTTGCTCCTGGCAACCCAACTGCTATTCCACAAGGTTTAAAAACTGCGGTTTTCTAAATGAATTAGAGTATTTTTGGTATTTAACAAAGTAGTTTTCTGCTGAAATCGAGGAGGTGTCCAATGTCACAGTGATTAGAGGGCTCGCTGGACGCTTTTGGGGGGCGGCCTCAGCATTTCCTCACTGCAACCGATCGCTCCCTGCGTGGCAGCCTGTTCCTTGGCCTGCGCCTGCGCCTCAGCGGCCGTCCCTGGCCCCCTCCTGCGTCCGCACTGTGGGAAGGGCCCCTACCTCGGTCCCTGCGAAGGGACCAGTGCCTGCCAGGACCCTGCCCTCCGCTTGCGGCGGGACGCGGCCAGGGGGTCCCCAGGAGCCCGCCAGGAGCAGGGCGGAGCGGCTTGATGCTGGGCAGCCCGTATTCCACCCAGAAGTGGTGGTGGGGCGGAGGCTTCGCTGCCCACCCCACGGCGGCTGCTGCAGGGCCCCGGCTCCGGCCCGCTTCCCTCAGCCCTGCACCCTCCAGAGGCCTCGCTCAGCCACCCTCCGCCGCAGCCCGGCACTCCCGGAGGCAGCTGGGCAGGGAAGGCCGCTTCAGCCTGGGCACCTCTTTCACACTAGCGCCCCTCACCTTGCCGTCGGTCTTCGGGGAAAACTCGCTGCCACTCGTTGCCTTAATTTGCGTGCTCCTCCGCGCCCCCCGCCCCGTAACTTCGGGAAGCGCTTGCACGCTGAGCTCGTCCGTTCCATCCGGGCTGCCGCACTGCCTCCTGTCCGCGCAGAAGGTCGCTTGCGGGCAAGCCCTTCGCCTCTGGGGCAGAGGGGCTTGTCCGGCCGTGGTTCCGAAACGCAGGTCGGGTCAGGGGCGGGCCTGCGGAGGCTGAAGCTGGGGCAGGGAGTGGCTTGGGCAGGACTGCACGCCCGCCTGTCCTGGTGTGCTGCCCCCAGAGGAAGTGGCCACAAATCCCAGCATTCCCCAGCCTGTGTCGTCAGTGGGGATGCTGAGAGTTGGGATCCAGCAACTCGCGGGGCTTCAGGTGAAGGAGTGCTGCTCGAAGGTGAGCACAGCAGTGGCTGGTGGGAGCGCTGGGTCACCACAGGTGCGGTGCACACCTGGGCGGAACCGTGCCCGACTCCACCCCCAGGAGGGTGCTGTGCCGAGGGCCGCACCCGCCGGTCTTGGCAGAAACAGCTCGACCGGCCGATTTCTGTGCCGCCGCCACTGCGTGTGTGTCTTGAGGCATTCGCCTTGTCTTTCAGCATCTACCTCCGCTCAGCTGCTCCTGCTCTTGCTGCGAGGCGAGTGGCGGGACGTGAGCCAGTAGCAGGTAGCCCAGAGATGGAGCTGTGAGCTGTCCGAGATGGGGGGAAGGTGGCGCTTCCACATGTTCTGCGGAGCACCCCTGCGCGGTGCACCGACGTCACGCTTAGCTCAGCCCTTGTCCGCCCCGGCCTTTCTCCCCCCACTGCCGCCAGCGGGGGCTCCCCCCGGAGAAGCACCCACTCGTGCCCGCCGGGTCGCCGTGGCCTGCCCTTGCTGGTGCAAAGGGACATTCCCAGCCCGAGGGCGGACACGGTTCCCTCTGCAGCGCCCCACTCGGCTCACGAGTGTTCCGGAGAAGCCTCCGGGCGCGATTCTGCAGGCCCCGTCACTGAGAGACTGGCTCGGTCTTCCCATTTAGCATGTCGCAACTGTGCGCTCAAAGCCGGGCCCCACAATGGGTTTTCCGCTCTGCAAAAGAATCTGCCCAGAGGTTCATGCTTCAGCTCTTCTTCATCTTGTTTGGCCTGCTGCGATATGCGTGTGTTTTCCAGTTGTAGTGCTGAAAGGCTTCTGTGGGGTGCGGGGGGCGGAATAAGTACGGGAGCTAATCTGTGCCCTGGGGCTCAGCACTACATAATTTCTTCCTGCGGCTGAACAGCGCGTGCAGCCGGCCTGCGTCCCGCTCTAGCTGTGATCGGTCCAGTTTGCTGTGGCTTGTAGGTTGGTTGTGGGGCAGTAGCCGAGCCGGCCGGGGAGCCCCCTGCTCAGACCCCATGCCTAGCTTTAGGCATTTAATGTCGTTGCACACACTCCCTCCGTCCGCATCTTCCCCAGGTCTCCTCCTGGGGCCGAACTGTCGGCGGCAGCTTAGCTCAACGGTTTTGGAAACGAGGGACGTGTGTGCCGGTCTCGCTGCAGAGGAAAGGGTGGGGTGCAGTGGCCTTCCTCTTTCCATGCCTTGGCAGGAGGGAGGGGTCCTTGGCGCATGCTTGTGGGAGCCGAGAGTCTCTCGGTTGCTTTCCTCGCTGCCGTGGCCCTGAAGACGCTGGAAAGGGGGCCAGAAGGAGAAGCACGTGGCCCCCGTCAGGAGGCAGGGCTCTGTCCCGCACTTGCTGCCTGGGGGACTAAAGGAGGTGATCCATGGCAGCACGAGATGCATGGTGCCGTTAAGGCCTGTGCTGAGCTTAATCAGTTAAGCCTGCAGGTGTCCCAGGAGTGGCCCCAGGAGCAGCCGAAGGCGGAGCGCCACCCCTTTGTCATGAAGCCGGAGGGACCCCCGTCGCTTCCTTGCTCAGCGAGACTCGCCACGAGTGTTCCTCGGCACCACAGAGCATTTGCCACCTTCCGTGGCTGGGCCTCTTGAGTGCCGACGGGCGTGAGCCAGTCTGCCGCAACCCGGCGTGTACGGCATCGGCGGTCCTGCCTGCACAGGGGCGGCCCTGCAGGTGCGCCGGGCCTTCCCCTCCATCGTCCAGCCTGAGGCTGCGATGGGTGCATTTCAGAAGGGACCCCAGAAACCCGGCACAACACAATACCACCGCTGCTCCAGCCTTCCCCAGCCTGCTGCTCCCACTGGGCTACGACACCTCGGCTAGGGCATGCTGGGAAGTGTAGTCCAGAGAGCAGCGGGGTGGGGAAGGCCTGGGAAGGGCTAGTCTAAGCAAGGTCTTGCCCTCGTTGAATTCCTAGGCGTGGCTTCCCAAATGAGTCCGAGAGGACGGAGCGCTGACCCGGGTGCTCAGGCTGCCCGTTCAGGTTAAAGGCACAGCGAGCACAGAAGCCGCCGCTGCGCGAGTGCCGGCCGAGGCACGCCCTGCGCTGCTGGGGCTGTGGAGACCCCCTGTCCTGGCGTGGTGGGGCGGGGGCAGGCCATCCTGCTGCTGCTCCGGCTCTCCCTTTGGCTCCAAGCACTTCCGGAGTGGCCTTTCTCTGTGTTCCCAGCCTGCCGATGCGGTTCAGCAACACCAAGCCCTTCGCTCTGCCCTCCTGGGGCCGCATCCTTCCAGCTCTGCCCAGCAATCGGGGCGGCTGCCCACGGCAGCGACCCCCCCCCTCTGTCTCTAGCTGGGTTCTTTTGTCCATGTATGTGATTATGTATTTGACATCAATGCTGAAACACGCAAAATAAATTAGAAACAGTTCCTATTTCTAACCGGTATCAGCGTCTTCCTTTGGTCTTGTGCCAGCAGCTCGTTCCCTTAGCCAAACGCTTCCTCAAAGGAGGGCGGCACAAAGCCGGGCCTTTAGCTGGGGACGCCGGAAGCTGGGGGCTCGCCTGCAGGAAGGGAGCACGAAATCTCCCGGCCGCTTTGCCAGGTGGCCCCAGAACCAAGCGCCCTCTCAGGGCTGCGCAGACTTGCTGCCGGGTCCTTGGATGACGGAGACGCCGGCACGGGGGAGGGCTGTGGCGGTCCGGCCCGCATCTGGCCGCCTTGCGCTTCCCGGATCTTCTCTGAGCACAGCCCTGGCCAGGAAGTGAGCCCAGCCAAGGCCTCGTGCGCAGTAATTTGGGAACATCAGCAGCCCCCTCTTTGTCCGGAGTGCGCGGCATCTGCAGGCGGTGCGTGCAGAAGCAGGATTCCGCGTGCACCTGGGGCAGCCTGTGGGCGAGGCAAACCCGCCCGGACTCGCTTCCTGCCGGACGCCTCCCGACAGAAAGCGGGGGCAAGTCCAGGAAGCCGAGCCCAGGGAAGCCGATGGGCTCCTCTCCTCCAGCCGGGTCCCCCGAGTCCTGCTGAGCAACGGCCGTCAACACGCTGCACGCAAGCACTCGTGTCCAAGTTGGTGCACACACGTTCACGCGTGCCAGGCTCCGCTCGGCAACGGGAGCTGCCGGGTGAGAAACACGCGCCGCAGCCGCAGCGAAGCGGGAACCTCGCCGCCGCCTCTGCAGGGGCCGGCAGCCAGAAATGGCGTCCGCGCAGCACAGCGGCCTTAAAACCTCCTTCCTCCAGCACCGGGCTGCTAAGGATGATGGGCTGCATGCTGCGGCGCGCAGGCTCGGGGCCGCTCCGGGGGAAGCCGCTCCCACCCCTTGCCGTCCTGCAGGGAGGTCCCGCCTGCTCTTGAGCCCATCAGCCCTGGAACCCCGATAAGCTCCTGAACACGCTTATTCCGGAGAACGACAACGTATGGTCCTGAAAGCACTCCGTGGCGCTTCGCCGAGCTGGTGCCCCCAGATCTACTGGGCTGCCGCTCTTGACCTTTCCAGCATAACAGCTGCAAGCCCACCGCACCTGGAAGGTGGGTGGAGACGGCCAACCAGCCCCACGCTGGAGACAGGTGACCCCGTGAAGTGCGTGTTCCCATCGTCCTTTTAATATTTCAGCACATCACATGCCACTAATACAGAAGGGGAAGCAGAGGCGTGACCCGAGGAGCAGGATTTTCTCCTGCCGACGCACGGGAGTCGGCCCCCAAAGCGGGGCGCCATTTCCACGTCAAATGGGCCAGTAAAACGGAAGATGGACGCTGCTGCCTGCGTGAATTTCTGCGCTGCCCAGAACATTTGTGGAAGGAAGGCATGCTCGGCCCGGCCTTCAGCACCTCTACCACAGCCCTTCCCGTCCTGCTCAGAAATCACGTTGATTCTGATTGAGAGGCAAGTTATAAGACAAATGCAGGCCTGGTCTGTACCTCTTCCTGGGATGTTTCTACAAGCAGCGATGGCGGTCTGAATAGTCACAGCAGCACGAAGAGTGTCTCCGCGTTAAGAAAAGCTGAAGCGGGATGGACTGGAAACGCAGGCGGTGCGCAAGGCAGTGGTTTTATGGCATCGCGATCGTAATCCTCTGTGAAAGGTCCAAAATCAAGCAGGTGCTGCTTCTCTTCTGCATCCAGGTGCTGCGTGGGTCACTCTCTCATCCAAGCAGGTGGGGCAAGGCAACATGAGACCTCGTGTGTCCGTCAAGACTGTGCTTTGGTTGATACCTGTCGGATGTAAGGATAGACAGGTCAGCTCTGGGGTTGTTATGTAGAAAATTGTATTTATTTATTTATTTATTTTCCGATTTATATCCTGCCTTTTTCCTACAAAGGGCTCAAGGCAGCTTACATCTCCTCCTCCATCTTATCCCCACAACAACAACCCTGCAAGGTAGGTTGGGCTGAGGGTTTGTGACTGGCCCAAAGTCACCCAGTTGGCTCCATGGCCGAGCGGGGACTCGAACCCAGATCCCCCGAGTCCCAGTCCCTCGCTCTTCACCACCACACCACACTGGCACACTGAAAATGTACAGCCCACCATTCATCACAAAATGACCCAGGGTGGTTCATCATATTCCTCATTTTCTTTATTCCCGGCAGTCCCTGCTGTCTTTCTCAAACCAGCTGAGACAGTTAGCAACAATCCAGAAAACAAGAGTGAAGAACCAGTCTAAGCATAATAAATCTACAGAAGAGCCCGTGGGGTGTGGTGCGAGTGTTCGTCTGGGGACCTGGAAAATCCAGCTTTCAGTCCCTGCTCATCCTTGAAGCCCACTGGGCGATTTCGTGCCCGTGGCTTAACGCTCGGCCCGCTCTGCCTCGCAGGCTCGTTGTGAGGATAAAAATGGAGCGGAGAAGAGCTCCATAAGCTGCCTTGGAAAAAGGGTGGGATAGAAATGCAGTGCCAGAGTAATAATAGGAACCTTGAAAACATCGCAATTTAAAAAGCCAAAAAAGAGGCAACTTGGCCTTCCAGAATGCAGAAGGAACAACATGGAGCAGATCATAACGGATCGAGAAGAACGGCACCACACACCGCTCCATCCACTGCCTCTTTGTAACAGGGGGCCCCCTGTTCTCTCCTGCTGACCAGGGTTGGCATCACAGGGCAGAGCATCTGAGGGCTGAGGTGCCCCCACTAAGGCGGCCCTGTGGTGAAATCCGGAGGATCGTGTGCTCCTTCCTCGCAGGGCCCCACGGGAGGCGTCGCCCAAGCCGAGGGACAAAGCCGCAACTTAACGCGCCCGACCTGGCCCTCTGCTTTGTTGGGGGGCAGGTGTGCCAACAGCCGCGCTGGCTGAGCGGAGGCTATGCAGCTGGGCGAGGACTACGAACAGGGGATCGCCTGCTGGCCGCTCCAGCAAAGCTGTCCCACGAGGGCCGCCTCCCTCCAGGGCCCCGCTTCGTGGCAGGAAGCGCAGGCACGCTTCCCCCTCCGCCTGCGGCTGCTCGCGGGCCCTTACCACGGTCAGCTGTCCGTTTTTGGCTTTGTAGACGTGAGGCTCCTGGCCGGTGGTGAAGACCACGGTGCCCTCCTTCCCCGACCCGATTTGGAACTGGAGGCTGCAAAGCAGACGCGCAGTGGAGATTACGTGGGGGGGGGGGTCCCGGCCCCAGGACCAGCTCCAGCCACCGTGGGCCCCATGCCCCCTCCCGCTGCCTGGCCTCTGCCGGTTTGTGCCGCTCTCCTCCTCCCGGAGGAATTAAATCCATGGCAAGATAATCTCAAGAGCCCAGCTGGATCGAGCCAAAGGCCGCTGGCGTGCCTGGCACTCTGCCCCGAACACGGGGGCTGCCTAGAGGGGCATAAACAGGGAAAAGCCCAGAGCCCGGGGTCCCTCCGAGAGAGAAAGCCCCCTCTGGAGCTCCTGGGGAGTCTGTGGCTTCACGTGGCCACAGGCTGGGCGGGGGCCAAAGAGCGGGGGCCCTGCTGGCCCGCAGGTGCTCGAGCAACTCACCTGCCCTGGGCCACCACGACCGCGTCCTGCTTGTTGGCCAGCAGGCAGAGCTTGGTGACCGTCTCGAAGAGGTGCTCACACTGCAGGATGGCGTCTCCCTGGGGGGGGAGGGCGGTCAGCTCTGGGGCCAGAGGCCGAAGGGAGGGGCTGCCTCCCCGTTCCAGATGCCTCCTGGGACACCTCCAAAACCCCCAGCACAGCATGCAGCAGCAGAAGGCACATCGCCGTTAAAGGAACAGCCGCCCGGAAAGCACGCGCACTCGCAACGACTTCCACGCATCTCCTCCGGTGGCGTTTCCCCAGCTAGCCTTACAGCGCTCTCGCAAGGTAGGACAGTGTTGCAGATTAGCAAACAGCTACACTCTCCGTCGCATGAGGCCACGGACTGAGCTTGTGGCCACGGAAAAAGGTGAACGGCACGCCCTGCTTTGGCGGCGGGACAGCCAGCCGGGAGCTGCACATTCCCAGAAGCACCTTGCCACCGTATCACAAGATGCTATGGATATTTGCATCTGGCACTTAAGAGTATTTTACACAGCTGAGCCCTGTCTCAGCCTGAACCCTGCTTGTAGGTTGCCATTTCGAACAGGGCTGGGACATTTAGATGGGTCTTCGATTTAAAAATCCTTGGACTGTCAGGAAGGGTGTGTCCAGATAATTGCAATTATCTGGGAATTGCAGTTTTAGTCCAACTGGTTTTTTTGGACCAGAAGTCTAGTTGTTATTCCTGTGCAAATATGCGTAGATTTAATCCATGGGCATCTTAAAGTAAAGTGATTGATCAACGAAGAATTTTTAGTGGCGTGACAGCCCCAACTTCAAAGCAAACCCACCAGAAACAAGACGCTTGAATGCCACCTGCAAGGGCCAGGCTGGTCCGAGGCACCCCGCTCTTTCTCACGCGCCCCCAACCCAGAGTCCCCATTCTGCCCGTTACCTTCTCCTGTTTGTTGTCTTCTGAGACATGCAGGACCAAGATGCTGTCACTCAAGTTGCTGGTAGAAACACCTTGGAGAAAGAATGCAAGACGAAGGAAATCGCATTATTTCTCTCCTTTGACCAGCGTTACACGACATGGGATGGAAGGAGCCCCTTTCCCCATCCCATTCACAACGGAGCATGTCGGACTTGGCCGCCTCGGCCTCCTAGGCAGCCACGCAACTGAGGCGGCGCTTCTACAGTCTTGATCAGAAAAGAGGCAAAAATAGACAGTGGTTCAAAGCAAGAGAAATAATTGTGCACACGCCGTTTCGCACGTCAAACTCATTTAGATCGCGGCAGCTTGGTGGCCGCAAGGATCAGTGGCATTTGCCACTCTTGCCCGAACGAACGCCAAGCAGTTTTCCTGGGGATGAGCACAATTCTGTGGTGGAAAAAGATCTCAGCCTTTCAAGTTCAAGACATATGAAATGGATCAGGGACGTGCCCAGCCTGGGAACTGTCAGATGCCCCTCAAACGGGCACGGCTCCGGCAGATCAACAAACAGCTCTGACACTCCTCTGTGGGCCAGAGAGCCAGGCTCCGGGAAAGCGCAGCCCTGCCCTGCACGAAGGACCGCCAGGCTTCCGGACGCTCGCTTCCCCCTTCGCACCGCAAGGGGCACACGCGGCGACCGCAATGCAAAGGAATGGAGCCGGGCCCGGGTCTTTCCCGCCTCCTCCCTCCAGGCCTGTTTCCCTTTGGTGCCACGTCCCTGAGGCCGCGAGCGGAGGACGAGGGCCGCCCCGTTGTCCCCAGTGGCCTGGCAGCCCCCCTGCAGCCCAAGAGCGGGGGGGCTGGACTCGGGGGGGGGCGAGGCTGCGGGGGGCGAGCCGTACCCTTGAGCGCCGCGTACTCGATCTTCTGCTTGATCTTGGCCGCGTCCACCACGTACAGCGCCACGCGGGTCAGCACCAGCAGCCGCTCCCGGGGCCTGAAGCCGTTGCGGTCGAACTTCACCACCGGCGTGACGTACTGCAAAGCGGCGCAGGAGAGGATTCGCGGCCGGGGCAGGCCCCCGGCAGCGAGGCCACGTGGCGTCGGGGCGGAGGGCAGCCCCCGCGTCCCCGCACCTTACCTTCACCTTCTCGTGACGGATCATCTGCAGGATCTTGGGGCTCAGGTCGCTCTCGCCTAAGGAAGAGGCAGGAGGAACGGTCGGGCTCCCTCCGCAAGCGGCCGAGGCCCTCGAGACCCGTGCCCCCTCCCCCAAATTACTTAGCCTGGTGTCCACAAACGGTTTGCTCAGGCTCTCCGCGTAGCCCGCCTTCTTCCCGCAGAAGATGCTGCTGGCAATCGCCTTTTGCTCCATCTGCATGAGGATGCGAGGAGAGGTTGTGCCCCCCGGAGGAAACAGCTCCCACAGTCGCTGCAGGGCAGCGTGCGAGGCTGGAGTTCCCACCCTCCAGTTTTTACGTGGGACTCCGGGCACACAGTGTGTCCCGGAAGCCACCGGCACGGTCTCTGGGATGCGCCCGGGTTCCGTGGCATGATAAAAGCTTTGTCTCGGAGGAGAGGAGCAGTCCTGTCTGCTTGGATCAAGCCCTGCCCCACAGCTGCTCCGGAAGAATCAGCTGATTCCAACGGGACCCTCCGGAGTTTCACGTGAGGTGCTCCCAACCTTCGAATGTGTTGGACTACAGTTCCCCAAATCCCAGGAGCTGCAGTCCACCAGTTCTGGAAGGTGCAAAACCAGGGAGCGGAGCTTCTCCTGTACAGAAAATTGCCCCGCCTTCAAGTTTCCGCAACTTATTTTTCTTTTTACTGCGAGTTCAACTATTAGGGCGATCGCCCAGGCAACCCATGGGAACTGCAGCTTAGCAAGAGAGCCAAGGCAGGAGAAAATGCTGCCCCTCCCTGAAAGTCCAGTCTGCTGCGCCTCTGAGCCTGTGCAGAGTGCATTTGTACTGGGCAGCCGTGAAGAACAGGTTTGAAAGGCCTCCCGCCGCGAGGGCTGACCTCGGACCCGCGATCACCTGTGTCTTCCTCTCCGCCGTGATGCCCCGGCAGTACTTCCGGACGAGGTTCCTCATGCAGATCTTCTTCAGGAGCTCGGACGTCTGTGTTGAGCAGGGGGGAAAGCCTGTCATTCGGCATGTGAAGACGCTTAGCTCAGGGCTGAGCTCCTGTGTGGCTCACAGAAGGTCTCTGGTGGGACCCCCGGCATGACAGCGGACGGCGGCTGGCCGGCTGCACATGCCCACACGGCCGGGCCTGGGCCCTTCTGAGCTGCTCCAAATCCACCAGGTCTACGCAACCCGGTGCTTTAAGCGCATGGCGCATGGCTGATTCTCACCACAGTGCAAGCACACAGAGCGCTGTGCGTGGACCACCACTCACAGGCCAGGCAGGTGGAGACCTCCTCCCCTGCCGCTCGCCACCCTCTGCATTTGCACCCCCTCCATGCCAGGCTAAGACAAGAAGAAGGATGTCCTGCCGGGGTGAGGCGACCCCTACTAGCCCCCATCCCCACAGAGAGGGGAGCTGAGAGGGGGGAGCTTTGAACCTCCCCTGCCCGCATTTGGCCAGGGACCCTGGCGCTTACACGGGGCTGAGAAAAGCACGGGCCACGCCAGCCATGCTGAACATCGCGAGCCGCTCGGGAAGCCAGATGCGGGCAAGAGCATCTTCCAGCTCCCGGGAAGCGCTGCTGCAGGCCCCGCGGGGGAGCCCCTTTCCCGGCACTGCCCCCCAGCCGGCGGGCACGCGCCCCCTCACCTGCTCCATGATCTCCGGGGGCCGGAGCCAGCTTTTGTCCAAGACGTTCCTCGGCAGGTGGTCCCGGAGCTTCATGAGGTAGGAGCGCTGCACAAGCCTCACGAAGTCCCGGTTCTCGGGGCCGAGCGGCTGCTTCCGCTGGATGAACCCCTTTATGTACCTGCAGAAGGGAGGCGGCCGGCTCAGCCACACCGCCGAGCGCACGGCAGAGGCGGCTGCAGCCAGACCAGGCCTCTGTGGGGTGGCTGGGTCCCCTGCTCTGCAAAGGACAGCCCTCTGTCCGAAAGTGTCCCCTACAGGAAAGCCGCCCGGTCCAATCCAAGCCCCGTCCTGCTGAGGCAGCAAAGGGGGGGGGGGCGGCAGGGCCGCCCAGGACTCACTTCCGGATCGTCTGGGCGGCCCACATGCGCTTCTTGGCCAGCTTGCGTGCCAGGACCCCCCTGCAGCAGGCCTCCAGCTTGATGGCTGCAAGCACAGAGACAGTCGCGCTTCGCACGGGTGACCCCTTGCCCAGGGCAGGGCGGGAGGGAAGGGGCCGGACTGGCCGAGGGCCCAGCCAGCCCCCCCCCCCCCGTGCGAGCGAGCAAGCGACAGCCGGGCCCTCTCGCCCAAGCCCTTGCAGAGGTGGTCCGGGGGTGCGCAGGCGGGAGGGCCGGAGGAGCGGGGCCTGGGCACTGGCACACCAGCGCGGCGCGGCTGAAAGCTCTGGGGAAACGGCTGGACCAAAGCCGGGACGGCACCCAAGATCAGGCAGCTGTGCAAGAGCGGCTGGGCCCCCCAGGGCAGCCCAGAGGGCGGCCAGGGCCCCGCCGGGGCGAGGTTTGCCCCCTGCGCCTGGCGCGCTGCCCCCCGGGCCTGTGGGGCCGCCCACGGTGCTCCAACACACGCCCGCTATCCCGCCAAGCCGGCCCCAACGACAGGCAGCGGAGCAGAATGGGCGGGGCCAAAAGGGCTGGAGCGGGCGGCATCCGCTGCCCAGACTCTGTCGGGCTCCCAGCCCCCCCCATGTGCCCAGCCCCCCCCCCCCCCCCCCCCCGGGCCCGGCCCCCCCGGGGCCCCCCCCCCCCCCCCTGGGCCCCCCCCCCCCCCCCCCCCGGATACTGGGAGGCGAGCCCCAGTGAGGTTCCAAGGACCCCGGTTTCCCCCACCCCGCCTGCTCGTGGCGGACCGTCCTCCCAGGGCTTCCCGGGGGCTGCAGAGGATTCTGGGAGACGGCCAAGAATGCAGAGAGAGCCCCCCTCCCCGGCGCATGGCAGGGAGGAGTGCAGCCCCCGAGCGGGGGGGGGGGGGTGCATCTCCACGCCACCCGGCTACTGGAGAGCCCTCGATGGGGCTGCACGAAACCCGCACGGCTCCCAGCAAAGCCGGCGCTTCCCACGTCGCCGTAAGCCATGCTTGCCACGGGAGGATCCGCGGGAGAAACGGAGGCACGGGGCACAGGGAAAAGCTCCGGCCGCGGTAGGCGAGGGTCAGCAGAGGGCAGCAGCTCTTGGGTTCCCCAGTCAGTCGCCCTCCCTCCGGCTCTCTCGGCTTCGGGAAATGCTGATCTGCATGTTCCAGTTGGGCGTGTGTGGCAGTCGGGCGGCTTCTGTTTAACAGAGTCCCCTTGGAGCTGCCACTGGAACCAGCCGATTTTCATCATGCCCTCGTTATTGTGTGGGGGGTGAAGGCATAAAATAGTGTGTGCGGGGAGCTTAATCCTCATTCTGGCCCTTGGGACCGACCGAGAAGTCATGTTTCACTTTTCAAAACTTGCAGCAAGAGGCTGAAATTCAGAAATCTGCACTGGAAATCAGGCATGGAGCAGTTCGGTGCCAAGATTAAAACCGACTCCGGGTTCAACAGGCACACGAGCACGAGGGCCCTCACCAGCGTCCCGCATCCTCTGGAACTCCCGCCTCCCAAGGCAGCCTTTGTATTTTGCTTGTATCCTGGAAACTGGACGGAAAATACGCGTCAGCTCCCCGGACGGGCCGTTCAGGGAAAAGGCCGTTCGGGGAAAGGGCGTATCTGCAGGATCCTTTGGCGGCATTTCGAGGCTAAAATGTGCCCAGCAAAGCGGGGATGGGAGAGAAGATGCAGGGTGGGGGGGGCATGGGGCAGAGGGGTGCCAGAGCAGGTCACATGCCCCGCACAAACCCTTTACTCGCCGCAGTGCGAGCACGGGGGGGGGGGGATTTCAGTTGGGGTCCCCAGGCCCTGGCACGGGGTGGTGAACCTTCCCACCTGGCCAGTCCCCCCTCCCAAATGTCCCTCCCCGGAGTGCAAGGACAGGAGAGAGGGAAGCCCCCTCCACGGGCACCAGGTCCAAAGGATGCCCAGGGGCTTACCCAGGCGATGTTTTCTGTATTCAAAGGCGTCTTCCGTGGCAAACAGAGTCCTCGGGAAACGGATGAATATTTTGGTCCTGGGCAAGAGAAAACATCCCGTGGAACAGCCGTGCTGGTAAGACTTGAGGCGGCCGCCATGGAAGATGCTGCCCTGGTCGATCGCGCACGCCGAGCAAGGCCCACAGCGGCCCGGATCCGGGGACTCCGCCAGCTGCGCCTCACCTTCCCATTTTGTACTCCTCTGGTCTGTAGCCGATGTGCTGGACCAGCTTCTCCACCCCCTTGGCAGCCGAGCCGCGCCAGTGTGGCCACGTCTCCGGGCACAGGGACTTGTACCTGAGAAGCCAGCAGGGGCCCGTCAAGCACGAGAGAAATGGCACCGGGCCAGGGCGGCGGAGGAGCCCCGCTGCACGTGGAAGGCCACCGGCGTCTCCGGCAGGAAAACTCCCGCCGAAAGGGGTGCAGGGCCCCGCCGGCGAGTGGCCGCGGCAGAAGGGTTGCCGTGGAGCGAGGGGCCACGAACCTTCAGGCCCTGCCTCCTGGCCTCTCGAGAGGCAGGCGGCTGCCCACAGGGGGAATCCGGTGCCGGACCGGACGGGCCCCCCAGGGATCCATCACCACCACCAGGCACTTCACAGGCGGAAATGGGGGAGATGAGAAGGGGGCCCCAGGCCGTTCCACCAACCCTGCGGGGAGATTTAGCCTTTCCCCTCTTCCCTCCCTGCTCCTTTCTCCATGTATATCGTAGCCTTCCCGGTGTTGTGGCCTACGGCTCCCATGATCCCTCGCTACTAAACACAATGGCCGGGGCTGATGGGAGCCGTAGGCCAAATCCTCTGGCGGGCCAGAATTCGCTCGACCCGGCCTTGGACGGCGAACAATTGCTCTGCGCAAGGGGCTGCAGGCGCCGACCTCACCTCTGCAGGAAGTGCTCGTATTTCCGCCGGTAGGCGAAGCCGGCTCGCCTCACCCGCAGGTGCTCCATCAGCCCCAGGTACTCCACCTGGTGCCTTATCAGCGCGTCGTCAAATTTGTCTGGGGGAGACAAGCCACGTTTAGGGACGGATGAGAAGTTCTGGGGCAGGTGAGATTTTTGTTCAGTTCATTTGGCAACGTGTGCAGCGTGCTCTGGTCCCAAGCAGACGTGCATTTAAAAGAGGAAACCCAATTTGGGGGAACACGGAAAGTGACCGCTCCCCCCGTCCAGGCCCAGGGCTTGCATGCCCCCCCCCCCCCCCCGCGAGTCTGGGCTGGGTCCCCATGCATCCCGCCTGGTCAGGGCTGCCTCTGGGCTGCCCGCTTTGGGGTTTTTTTGCATGTTCCTCATCTGTAGCAGTTTTGGGGCAGGACGGTAGACTACGGGTGCCCCTGTGCTGGGGACCGCCGCTGGGCCTGAGGCAGATGGGTGCGGAGACCAAGTTATTCGCGATAATAGAGTCAGCAGCTGTGGCCAACGCGGCAGGGAGAACGGAGCGTGGCTCTCGGGGGGCGCTGTGGCCACCGGACCCCCAGATGTGGCCAGCCCCTGGCACAGACAGTCCCTAGCGGAATAGAAGACTGTTCTTATTCTTGCTACGATTAATTTCATTTCTGTGCCCTTCAGTATTGCCCAGTTGGGCAGTTCTGTGACAACATTAATTCAGGGAAAACCAAGCAGAAATAAAACATGGAGGTGGGGGGGGGGCAGAAGTCTCCAGTGCAGCCGCACAGGATGGCCCAGAGTCCCCCCCCCCCACAGCCTGCACACAGAACACGGAAAACTAACCACCCTGCACTGCACGGGGCGAGTGTGGCTGTGTGACTGGCTGTTTCCTAACTCATCCATGAGGGCTAGCAACTTCAGCCGACGTGCATGTGCCTTCCAGAGGAAGCCTGGCTTTTACGGAGTGGAGCAGCCGCTTTGGGACCCCGCCGTGCTCCAAGCGAGACGCGAAGGCGAACGCACGGCCCTCACCCGGCTCTTTGTCATTGTTGGGTTTGATGCACCGGATGTAGGAGGGCTCCTTGGACATGAGGATGTCGATCAGGCTGGCCAGGCTGGACTTGAACTGCGTCGCGACCTGCGCAAACCAGAGGCCTCCTCTGTGCCCACAGGTGTGGGGAGAGCAGGGCAGCCCCGAACGAACCGCGGCACCCGCTCGGACCAGGCGGCGCCCCACAGACGGCTGGGCCGTGACCCTGCTCCCTGCAGCCCCGCCGGGGTCCCGGTCTGGGCGCCAAGGGAGGGCGGCTCGGCTGCCCGGCTCCCCACAGCCCTTCGGCTTGGGAAGAGACTTCCGCCGGCCCCGAGGAGAGGGGCTGGTCAGCCCCATTGCTACATGGTAAGAAGCAGGGGCGCAACTCACGGTCTCGGGCCTCTTCCGGTTGTCCAGCTCGGGTAAGCGGAAGCATTCCCTGAGGATGCCGTTTCTCGACTTGCACAGCACCTGGAACGCACGGACAAAAGGAGGGATGAAACGAAGTTGGGGCCCAGATGCTCCAAAAGCCATCAAAGCCCCCCCCCCCATCACCGCCACGCTGTCACCCACCCCAAACCTCAGAAATACGGCAGGACAGAAGCTGAGTGAACTGGCCCCACGTGCTTGTACCTCTTTAAGGTTCCGGTAGAGAAGATCATTATTTTTCTCCAAGAATCCTGAAAAGGAGGTGTGAGGGGGAATAAAGTCAAAGCAAGGGCTGAAAAGTAGGAGAGAAAGCAGCTCAAACAAGCAGTCAGGTGACCCAGAGAAGGCAACTCCGAGCCTGCCATTCTAACGCTTGTGTGGACAACCAAACCGCAGGACCAGGGATGCTGCCGGCTCCCACCGCCTCTCCCTCCCTGCCGATTGCCCTCGGGCTACGAAGCGCGGGGCAGAACCTCTTTCGACCGAGGGCCACATTTCCTCTAACCCCTGGATTTTTCTGTTCAAACAAGTAATTAAAAAGCGCTCTATAATATGGTCTTGAAGAGGGAAGCACCCCTGCTTTTTTGGTGTCCCTCAAACTGTTCCGGCTGCCTGGGTCCATCCCCTCCTGCCAATTTAGCCCAAAGAGGGTTCTGTGGATGGCAAGGGCTGCCCACAGCTCATCTGGGCGCCGAGCGAGGTCTGGTCCCGGTCCAGCCGGGGGGCTGGCGTGCCCACATCTCTCACCCACAGCGCAGTAGGTCACTTCCCCGGCGTAGTGAAGGAGGCGGAAGTCCATCCAGTCAATCGATTTCCGTGTCTTCTGGTCTGCAAGCTTCCGGCTGGAGGAAGGAACGGGAGAGGAAAGGTTTTCTGCGCGAGCAGGTGCATCACAGGGCCAGGCCGGTGGGGCGTTGACTGCCCCCTGCAAGGGTGGCCAGCTTCCCCAGGGGGGCTGGGGAGGAAGGGTGCTCCCCAGGGAAGGAGACAGAGCTGAAGCGCGTACGTCAAGAAGTGGGCATGGTCTCCTACTTTCTCCTCCAACTTTTCCAGGAAACTCAGATCAGTCGCCTCGCCCGGCCGCAAACACTCTTCGTCCTGACAGTGGGCAGAAAAGGACGAGCCCATCAGTTCCTGGCCCACATCACCTGGGCAGTTTAGCGAAACCTTTTGCCCAGCCGCCCGCTTTCTCCATGCGGCTGGCTGCACCCTCTTAGTCTGGGGCAAGAAAAACCGGAAACGGCACTGGGCAGCATCCTACGCCGGGCCTCGCAGTTTGCACCTGGATTCAAGGCTAAACCTATCGGGTCACCTGCTTGTTTGTCGATTCCTAACCTTCAGCTCTGCAAGGACGCCAAAATTATGTGGACCCCTGAACTGACCCACATGATGTGATGATTCCCTGAGGAATTTTGCAAAGATAATCACCATTTTGGTGCATGCGTGTCCATGTGCGTGAGGGTGTGTCACTCATACAGCTCCAAAATTAAACAGGTTAAAAATCACAAGCTGACCCTGCAGGGAATGCTAAACAGAGACAGATTCAAAGCTCATGGAGCCGGCTGGGGTCTTAGGGCCTGTCGTAGACTCCCCACCCAGCCTACCCCACAGGGTTGTTGTGTGAGGATAAGACTGAGAAAAGCAGGAGGAAGAGGAGGGGTGGAAGCTGCTTGGAGTTCTTTAAAAAAGAGCAAGACGAGAAATAAATCCAATACAAATCAATGAAGAGAGCAGGACGGCAGTCCTCCACGGAGCTACACAGCCTTCCTCCAAAGTGAGCAACGGAAGAACAAACGGTTTGTTTACATGTCTTACGGGCCGCCTAGGATTGCCAGGGCCCTGCGTCGCACATTTGCACAATCGGCCTGGCCCACACAATCCCGAGTGCCGCAGACCTTGATGGCCGTCTCTGCTTTTGGCACCCGGGAAACCGAAATCCCCGGATGAGAGAAGGGCACCGAGGAAGCCTGACTGACACTCCCCCCGATGAAGCTGCGAGGCCCGGCCTCGGCCTCGGGTTGCCCGTGTGTTAATCACCGGCCTCGGGCCTGGTCAGCAGGTGAGGCACGCGGACTCCTGCAGGGCTTGCTCCTGCGCGACTCCTCGGAGGTACGAACAGCCCCTTCGAGCACCATTTCGCAGGACGACCGCTCTTCCCGCCCTCCAAAGCCCGGCTTTGCACAGCCAGAGGCCCCAGATTCAGGACGGGTTCGTTTCCATGCCAGAAGGAACTGGCATCCGCCGTGTGCTGGCACCCCCAGAATTAGCTGCTCTTCTGGCTTACCAGAATGGAGATGATGCCCTTGTGCTTCTCTTCCACGAGGTCACAAATGATCTTGTTATTGAAATACGGGACAGGCTCCCACTGCGGACAGAAGCCAGAACACAGACGCACAGACGTGTTTGCTGAGCAAAGCGCCACGGACTCTGTGTGTGTGTGTGTGTGTTGTGCGCGGGTGGGGGGGAGAGTCTCTTGAGGCCGCCGCTGCCCCGGGACCATTTCAGGCTGAAATATGCCTGAGATTTGGAGTGAAAGTTTAGAGGGATCCTAGAAAAAGTCGTTTCTGAGAGAGCTGCTTGGAGAAAAAATGATTGCCCACGGGCTGAAGACAGACTATATTTTGCAGAACTGTAGGCTGCTTAAAAGAGGGTTCACGGCCTGGGGGGGGGGGGGCTCGCCACTTAAAACAGAGCTACCTAAATCAGTGGGGCTTAAACTGTTCAAGACTAAGCGACTGCTCAGGTCTACTCTAAGCATGGCTAGTCCCGCTCCACTCCCTGATGTCTCCTGGCACCCCACCTGAGCCTCTGGCAAGCAGGGGTGGTGGGATCCTGCGCAGCCTCTTCTTAAAGCCCACAGCACCTGCTTGCGCAGAAGAGCGAGAGCAAGGTATGTACAGACTACGGGAAGCGAAACTCGTGCAGCCCGTTTCCGGCTCTCTCTCAATGACTACTTGCTGTCCGCAGAGGCCAGAGCATAGTTTACCGGAGCCTCGGCCATGAATTCACGCCCAGACACTTTCTCCTCCCTCCCAGAGAAGCAGGAGCCCCCTAAGTGGAAGCATCCTCCTAAGTGGAAGCATTCCCCCGAGGATGCCGTCGCTCTAGCTGACGGCCCGGTCCCCCCACCCGGAATAGCCGCACCCTTCCTCCCCCTTGGCCACCGCAGCTGTGGGGTGGGGGCTTTCTGGCAGGAGAGCGAACGAGCGGGAGGCATGTCCGTGCTTACCTCAATGCCTTCGACCTCATACTCCTCCTGCTCTGCCTTTAAGGTCATCTCGATAAGCAGCTGCTGCAGCTTCTCGTTGCAGTAGTTGATACAGAACTGCTCAAAACTTGCAAAGAGCCAAAGAGGGGGTGTCATTTCATGCAGTGGGAGGCCGGCGTACCCCAGCGCCTGCCGAAGCACGGAGCCCTGCACCCCCTGGGACCCCGCAGTCCGTGGGGCAGCACCTTCCCCCACGAACGGGCCGGGTGTCCAGACCTTCAAGCATGTGAGCTGGCCTGGTGGCACGGGCGTTTTCATCAGCTGGTGCTGTTCAGTTTGTGCTCTTAACTGTTCTAAAGCTTTGAATTTGGATGCTGTTAACGGTGGGATGCAAATTCAGTAAATAACCGGACGGGACTCACAACGAGCCCTGACTAACGTCGAAGAAAGAGGAACTGCTGCGAATCCCCATTTCCAGTTTCTTCACAGGCAGCCCCACATAAAGGGCGTTGCAGCGATCCGGCCCAGAATCAAGGGGCGCATGGACAACTTACCTGTTTGTCTCGAAGACTTCAAAGCCGTATATGTCCAGTAATCCAATCACGGTTTTCCTGGTGAGATCCTGCCAAGCAAAAGAGAGTCAGAGCAGGGCTAACGCTGCATCATTTTAGGCTCCTTCTGTCAGCAGTGGACGCGTTGCCGGTCTGGGATCCCAAAGCTGAGGTCTGAGATATTCAGCCCTCAACGAAACGGGACGATTATAACTAAGAATCCTTTCCCGAGAATGTACATAGGGGAAATACACGTTCAGTTCCACAAAATGCCATTTGGTTCTAAAGGCTTCAATTAAATTTTATTATCCAATCAGTGACCCATTCAAATTTTGCAAGAAAGAGAACAGGATAAGCCAGGGGTGTTGCTGGTAAGAAGCTAAGTCTCCGTCGCACAATTTTCCACGCAGATTTTGCGGGAACGATACCGAGCAAGCACGGCATCCTCTCCATCCTGCTTGCAAGATCAAGGGAGGCGCTCGGTTCGCAGGCCCTGTGCAGGGCCATGCAGCTGCCTTTCCGCCCGGCTGTGGGGCAGCCCCCTTTGCGGGAGCGAGAGAAGTGCACTTTGCAGGGACTGTGGGAACCGGCAGGACGACTGGTTCTGATGCCGCGGGCTGCACGCCCCGCTCCGGCCGTGGGAAGCGCCGTGCGCAGCCCCCGCTGCGTCCACCGCGAGGCCAGCCCAGCCGGGACGGAGCCAGGCCCGCCGGGAAATTCCCCCAAGACACGCCACTCCGCTGCAAGGATGTGGCCCCCGCTTCCCGCTTCCCCACTAGACACGGACAGTGCGAGTCCAGCCTTTGACTTCCCCACCGGTCAGCCCAGAGGCCGGTTTCTTTCTTTCCGTTGGCTTCAGGATGCTCTGTTAAAAAGTTGGCTCTGCGTAATTAGAAATAGCGAAGGACCAACCTTGTTTGCCAAAGAGCCATTGATTTTGTTGACCAGCCAAGTAAACGTCCGTCCATAGATCGCCTTTGCTACGGCGTCACGAGCATAAAATGCCAGGTCTACGTCCAGTGGGCTCAAAACCTGATCGGCAGAAAGAAACGTGACTTGTGATCAGGCTGGCAAAGCGGCCATTTCATGCTTTTGCAGGTGGGAGGAGGGAGGCTACCTCTTCAAACCGGGCCTCGATTTTCCGGTGCGTGAGAGCTTCCTGAAGGATGGAGAGGTGGACGCCCAGCAGCTGGAAGGGAGCCACAGACAAGATGCCTTCAGTGTCAGCGCAGAACAGGCCCGCAGAGGCGGCCTCCGCCTGCACACTCCTGCCCCATCTCGGAGGCTGCCTTGGGAGCCCTGGCTCACGGGCTCCCCACCCTTCAGAGCAAAGCGGGTGGCAGTGCAGGAGACGGCCTTCCCGGTGGTGGCGCCTGACCAGGGGTTCCCTCCACCCTAAAACCCACCCCAGAAAGCCACCTCAACATTAGAAGGCAAAAGCGTACGCGTCTCCCCAGGCCTGCCTCCTAAACCTTCGAATATGTGCATGCAGTTAGCTCTTGGCTGCAGTTGGGGCTTCCTCCCATCCTTTAGTATGTCCACTTTGCATCTTGACCTATCGAGTGACCTGGGGTCATTTCTATTAGACGGTGGAAAATGAATCCTTGCAATAAGTAAAGCGGGAATGCAGCTGGGCAGCACGATCTTCTTGAAGGTATCTATTTTGTTCAACATTGGCACCTTTCCTCACCACCCATGCTCCCCAGCAGCGGGGCCAGGGACCAGGGCGCCCCCTTTCCTCCTTAGCCATCAAAGGGCTGCTTCCCGCCTTTGCTCTGGGCGGATTTTCCTCTGCAGTGGCTCAAAAGGTGTTGCAGCTGCCTGCTCCCCCTCCCAAGCAGGGTACCTTGGAGATCCACCGAAGCTGGGTGCCCCGGGTGATGATCGCGTGTCCGTTGTTGTCCTCCTCGAACTGGACGTTGCCCAAGTGCAGGACGCTGGCGATGATGCCGAAGAGGTTCTGGGGACGAGGAGGAGAGAGGTGCACGAGGCCAAGAGGCGCTGCTGTGGAGCACGGTGGGCGGAAGGGCTGGCTGAGGCCTGGCGCCTCTCGAGCGCTGCTGGAGGCTCGCCGGGGCATCCGTGGGGCAGGGCTGGGGCCAACTCGAGCTTGCTGAGAGCCCAGCCTCTGGCGCCCCCCTTTCCCCAGGCTCCGGGGCGGTTTCCTGGCTTCCATACAGCCCTCCTGCTTCCGCAAGGCTGGAATCTCTCTCTTCAAGCTCGGACTGCCTGTACAAAAGCTTTCCCCCGCCAAGCATTCTCCACCAGTGGGACACCGAGTGGTTTTCGCAAACATTCGTGGTCCGAAATGGGTGGCTAAGGCAAAGAACTCCCAAAAGGCTGTTGGGAGAGCTTGCTGCACCCGGACTCAGCCGGGGAGGCTGGGCTTCCCCTCCGTTGGAGGGCTGGAGCCCATCTGGAGCAGCTTTTGCGGTGGGTGCGCCGAAGACAGTGGGCGGGCACGGCCAGCCCTGCACGCTGACCACGGATGCTGCTTCGGGGTGCCCAGCACCCTCCAAGGCACGCAGGCCCCCCTCTTCGGGCTGCCCCCCACCCAGTGCCCGCCCGCGGCTCCTCCGCCCCGCTTGTACCTCGGTGTCCCTCTTTGCAAACTCAATCACGGCGAAGGCCTTGCGGACGGTCCTCCAGTCGCTCCGGTCGTTGATGGAAGGCACTCTGGCACAGCGGCCCTGTGGTGGCAGCGGGGGGGGGGGGGGCGCATCAGGACCTCTCTGGGCTCGTGGGGCAAAGGGGGAGGGAAGGGGCTTTCTGGGGAGAGCCGGGCCGAATCCCCCGGTTAGTCGGGACACTCACTGAGCAAAAAGGAAGCGGGCCCTGGCTGCATGAGCCCTGGAGAAGGGGCTGGGAGAAAATGCAGCGCGTGTTTGGGAGGGGTCCGCTGGGAGACCCCACGGTGAGGCGAGCATACAAGCGCAGCCCAGCTGGACCGGAGGCCTCCCTGCCACGGTTCCCACACCGGCGGAACGGCCCGCAGGAAGGCGCGAGGGCAGCAGCGCCCCCGGCTCGTGCTCGGATTACTGGGCGTAATCCCGTCTCATGTGGGATCGTCCCTTGTCTGTGTCGTGCAAATGCGGGAAGATTTCCCCGTCTCTGCCCAGGCCATGGCTGTCTCCACCCGAGCAACAGTTCCGGGCTGGGTTCCTTCCGGATCAGAAGAGCGACTCTTGCAGAACCAAGAGGCTCAGTGTGCTCCTCTGAGGAGCCCCCGGGAAGCCAAGCCAGAACACACACTCCAGCTGCCACAGAAGTCTGGGGAAGGTGGGCCTCGCAGTCAGGGCTGCAGGGCGATTATTTTCCCACTATTTAACAGTCAATTGGTTTTAGCCTTGTTTTTAGCATCATTGCAGTGTGTTACGCGCTGCGGGTCGTATGCCCTTGCTTTGCTTTCTGGGGTTTTTTTGTTATTTGTAAGCCATCCAGAGACTTTTAGTATTGGGATGGCATATAAAAACGAATGAGCAACTAAATAAGGACAAGGTAGAGGGTACCAACCTGCACCAGGTACAGGTACTTCTGGGGGTTGCGCTCCAGGCCGAGGCCCTGCAGCAGCTCTTCCTCCCCGCCTTCCAGCAGCTGGTAGAAGATGTGGAAGTTTCGTTCCCCGGGATTTTGGTGAACAACACGAGACTTCTCAATCAGGTAGCTGAGGATGTGCCCGCCCACGGGAGCTCCCTAGGAAGAGACGTCCCAAAACAAGTGAACGGTTAAAGCACAGGCGTTCATCCCTAGGCCTGAGGGGAGCTCTGGCCCTCGGGGGCTTCCCTCCGGCCCCCTGAGCTTCCCTGGGGGGCGATGTGCCCTTCCCTGCAGCTCCTGCCTCCCTCTCCGCTGAGGGTCTGCTGCTTCCCCGGGGTTTGTGCCGTCTTCTCCCCAGCCTAAAGGGCCGGCGGCAGAAGGTACAATAGAGTGTGGGAGACCACTGCAAATTCTCTCCAGGCTGAAAGTTTCCCACGACATGTGCAACTGTGCAAGGGGTTTATTGTACCTTAAAATCAAACTGGATGTCCATGTACTTTCCGAACCTGCTCGAGTTGTCGTTCCGTAACGTTTTTGCATTCCCAAAGGCCTGCGGGTTAAACAAACAAACAGAAAGTACACAGGAGCGTGGCCTGTTTAATTTTCAACCTGTTCTGTTTGCCGCCCTCCCTTCTCCTCTGCCACCCTCCTGAATTCTTCTGCTTGTTCGTTAATCCTGCCGAACAAGTTTTGCCGCCCACTTCACAAATCTCTGGGGCAGGAGCAGCACTTGGTACCTTTTCTGTGGGCACCACAGCTCTGGAAAGCCCTCCCCAAAGGGGCTCACCTGACCCGTGCACCTGCATTCATTCTGGTTCCAGGTGAAGGCCAGAAATGTCCCAGGAATTCAGTATCAGACTGTTTTAAATCCTGTGCTGCATTTTAAATGCAGTAGAATCTGCTGCTTGGCCTTACTCTGGTTTCTACTTCTATTTTATACTGTAGTTTCAATCCTTTACATTTCTCTACTGTATTCTGTGCTGCATTCTGTTTTTAAATCCTTTAAAATGGCATGTTGCAAGAGCAATCGCTACCGGTTGGCATCGATAGTAGTGGGCTTGGTAGTCGGATTCCCGTAGCTCTGCTTGTCTCCTTATTGTGCCAACGCATGCCGGTTGAGACAGAAAAAACCCCTTAATCTGGTATTCCTGGCTGAGGCAAGCAGGGACCGGTTGGGATTTTCCTGCCTAAACAGGAACAAGACCATGCCCCTAAACCCGAAGGCGCCCTTGTGTTTGCGCTAGCTGCATGCCACTAGAAATAAGGCTTACTGTTACCCTAAATTACATTAATTTATCACACAGGACGATGTCACTACAGGAGTTGGTTTTCCTTCCTGGGTTACAGTTCACGGGCTGCAAAATGAAACCCTGAAGGAAAAGCAGCTACGCTGCACGAGCGAAGGGGCCTGGTTCTGCGGAGCGTGGAGCCAAGCGCAGCGGGACCGGGCGGGCAGCGTGTGCACCCCGGCCTTCTCGCTACCTCCAGAACGGGATTGGAGAGCAGCAGGCGATCCCGGACCACGCGCAGCTGCTCTGTGGTGGGACAGGTCACGGCGAAGAACTGAAGGATCTTCTTGGAGGCTTCCGTCTTGCCGGCTCCGCTCTCCCCCGAGATCAGGATGAAGTGGTCGTTATACTCCGTGCACATGATGCGGTAGGCGTTGTCCGCGATGGCGTAACTGGAGAACACCGACAAACACACTCGCTTGACGGGCAGGCGGCCACCGCGTCTTCAGATCATACGAAAGCACAGCACGCCTTCAGAAGCCGAGGTGGCTTCGTAATGCCCCGGGAGGATGGATTTTGGACCACAGATCTCGGGAAAGCTGAGGGGCGACCCTGCTACGAGCCCCGGCAAAGGGCAGCCATGTCCCGCCCCAGGCTCTCCAGGTGTCTCCAACCACATCTCCATGCCGGAAGTGCTCACCGGCATCTCCGGAGAGCACCAGGTTGGGGAAGGCCATTCCGTGACAGCCTTCCGTCTGGCACCTCTTTGGGTGAAGCGCGTGCTCGGCAGGGATGGAAAGAGACATGCCAGGGAAGGCGACCGGGGATGCTGGGCCGGGGCTTACATGTGCGGGGGGAGCTCAAAGAAGTTGACTCCTTTATACTGCCCCATCTCCTTCACTGTGTAGATATTCAGCTCCTTGTACGGATTCACTGAAACCAGGAGCGTCCCGATGTATGTCTACAAGGAAAAGAAGAGAAGTCTTGGCGGTGCCACATTGTATTTTGAAATTAAAGAGTGCATTCTCGTAATCAGGCGGAAGCTGAGGTGCAGTCCTCCAACAGGAAGCCGTGCACCTTTTCCTGGGCATATTTCAAGGACGGGAGACCCCTCCCCTCCTAGACCAGGTTCTAGAAATAAGAGAACCCATCTTTCTTGCTGCCACCTTGATTTTTACTTTTGAAAGGTGCGGGGGCAGTCCCTGCTGCGACACAAAAAGCCTATACATTTGTACCGGCTTCTGTGAGAAACCCAAGAGGGCGCACACCCAAACGCAAGCAGTCCCTCTGGGTACGAGGCTCAAGAATGCAGTCTATGCTCTGCACAGAAAGCCACGGCTCCTTCACACGGAGTTTCCCTACACGTCAATACACTTTCTCAACTGCCGGTTTCGTCGCAGAGTTAAGCTCCATGCATCACGCACCCACCCACACACAGCTTGCTCTCCCACTGGATCATCTTTAGGAGGCACCGTGGGAGAGCGGACTATAGGTAAATGCAAAGAAAAGAAGCATTTCCTTCCACTTTTAGAATCAAACGCTGCACTTTCCCTGCTCTAAAATCCTCGTGGAAAAGTTTGTTAGATCAATGCAGGATTTAAGACTGGCTGGGGTGAATCTGCTTGAGCTTCCCTTGAGGAATATAACCAGTGGGCCCCAACACACAGGAGGTGGTTGGCCCCGGCTCCGGAACCCCCTTCCACGGCATCCCATCTCCCCTGTTTTCATTAAAGATGTATTTTTGTGGAGTCTTTTGAAGTTTGGGCAAGCATTCCCTTTGTTCAGAGATGCTTTTGTTGCGCTTTCCACACAACAAGAATTGTGTGGGATCCTCGTGAGAGATGGGCAGCTTTCTCTGTTCCTAACATCACAGGATCCCCACTACACTGATCCTAGTCCTCTCCTCCCTTTAGCATCCCCAGGGATTCAAATCAGAGCCAGCGGCAGTCGCCACAGGCATCAGCCCCTGCCCCTTTTTTCTCCACAAACGAGTTATTTCAAACAGCAACATCATGAAAGGCAGACGAGGAGCGATTACGTAGATGAGGTTCTCCCGGTATCGCTTGCAAAGGTTGTCCAAGAAGGCAGATTCACTCGTGTGCGAGTCCAGAAGGACAAGATCTTGGACGCCAACTCGGTCCCGGGCTATCAGCGCCCCCTCCATGTTCAGCTGATGGGGCTTCCGCCACCCTGCTTTCTCCTGCAGGGAGAGACATCTCGTTAGGGGTGCAAATCCAGTCCAGTCGCAGAATCTCCCTGCAGGAAATCCAAGGAGAGCCCCTCAGGAGCCTCCAGGACAGGGGGAACCATCCCTGGCACGGATGGGCAGGAACGGCTGGATTGGCCTCCCAAATTGCCAGGCGATTGATTCCATTCCACCGCCTGCTTGCGGGCAGAATCCATTGCTTGGGGAGAGCCCCCCACTTGTTCCAACGGGCACTGGAGCAACGCACTAATATCACTAGAATCAATGCAACTGCAGAGTGTTAGCCCTCATGTGGACTAGTGCCATGCCCTATGCACACACCCAAAAGAGTGAAAGACGGATCTGCGAGTCTGATCCATGTGTCTCAGGAGCAGCCAGCCCACTGCAAACCCCTCAGGTCCGATTTGTCACTAGCCAAACGCGTTTGCTTCTGAAGAGCATCCATCCCACACCCCGAGCACCCCATCCCACCCTTACTTGCCCGCCAGACAAATTCGGGGCTGCTCCAGCAGAAGACACGCCGGTTGCCTTGAAACAGACGCGGCTCTTTGCCACTTCCAGAAGCCTTTACAGCCGGCCCCCAGAAGGGATACAAAGTGCCTTCCCCAGGCTGCGGAATCTGGGAGCGCGAATTCTAACTGGAGCAAGGTTACCAGCCAGTCGCCCTTTGCAGAGGCCGTGAAACAAAACCCGGGCACTGCCATGGCGCACTCGCAGCTCGGCCTCTATTCCCCTTGAAGTCGGGGCTCGAGGAAACGCAAAATCCTTCGGCTGCAAAGCATGCAAGGAACAAGATGCCAGCTGCACCCTGAGCTCGGAGACGTCAAAGCACCGGCATCTGGAAATCCGCGGCCAGCTGCATGCCGGCAAGGCAGCCTGGCCGCATCACCGTACCGCCGCGGAGGCAGGTTGGGGACGCGCTCTTGGGGGGGGGGGGGCCCGCCCGCCCGCCCCTCAGGACTTCTCCGCGCTTGCCATCGCCAGGTGTGTGCAGCAGCTCAGCCTGCAGCTTCTGCCGGCCCTGCCGAAAGCGCCCAGCTTGTCTGCAGAGGACGGAGGCCATGGCGCACCGAGGTCTCGGCCGGGCGGCCGGACGCCGGATCCAGAGGGCGGGACCCTCTGCCGCACCACTGCCTCCCGGCACTCCAGTTCACCGCTGCCCCGTCGCCTGGTCCCGGCACCCAAGCTGAAGACACGGCGTACGCGGCACAAAGGGAACCGGGCGCCTCCGCGAGACTCACAGCCCCCTCCCTCCACCGCAGCGCGACGGGACGTCCAGGTCCGGTGCCGCCAGGGCCTCCTTTCCTCATGGAGCTTCCGGAGGGGGCACCCCAGTCTTGGCTGACTGGGGGACCGGGTGGCAGGTGTGCCTGGGTTTCCGGCCACGTTCCCACCTCTTCCAGACCTCCCCGGATGCCTGGCGGCCTGAGAGCAGCCACAGGAGGCCCCCGAGCGGTGGCACGAGGAGCTGCCCGGCTGAAGCTGCCCACAGTTTCTCTGCAGCAGGTTTCCTCAGAGCAGGGCCGTCAGAGGGGGCAGCAACTCCCATGGATGTAGGGGATGGTGGGAGTTGTAGTCCGGCACATCTGGAGGGCACCCCGTTGGGCAAGGCTGCTCCAAGCCACTGGCCTTGAGGTTTATTCAACGAGCCGCCCGTGTTTTGCAGGAGTGGGGCTCAAACTTTCGCTCGCCGGAGCAGACGGAGGGGCAGGGAGGCGTCCTCTGGATGGGTCCCACAGATGCCGGGCCCATTCGGGTGCATGAAATGCCATGCCAAGCGCCGCCCTCCCCGTCCCCTTCCCCACAAGTGCCGTACCTGGCAGGCCCCAGCTGCTCCCTGCATCTCCTCTGCCCATTCCACAAAGCAAGCTTTCTACATTTTGTGGCTGGACTTTAAACATATTGTTGCAAAGTTGTCCCGGAGCGGGAAGCCGTTCCGCCAACGGGAATTCCTGGCCAAGGCAGGGACCTGGACAGGCAGCCTCCCCACACGAGGCATGATCAGGGTTCGCCGGGCAGGGTCACGGGCCGAGCGGCAATGACTTCTCATCCCTCGGACAGGGGAGGGAGGACGCGGCTCGGCAGGGCTCTTCCCCCAGCGCACGCGCGCTCCCTCCGCAACGGAGAGGGGCTGCTGAAGGGCTCCATCAGGGCATCCCCTGGTCCAGCAGGCGCTGCAGGGGCCGGAAGGAGGCCTGGATCAAGGCACCCGCGAACACTGCTGAGGATGGGCTCTCAGGCAGGCGGCCCAGGATGCTGGGCTGCAGCCGAGGGGTAGCACACGTGCACGCACAGAAGGCCCCAGGCTTGGCCCCAGCAACTTCTTCAGGGAAGGTGAGGGAAGGATCTTGGCTGAGACTCTGGAGAGCTGCCAGTCAGTGCGGGCAATAATAGGCTGGCTGGGGCAAGGCGTTTGATACCTGCACCTTCCGCAGGGCCTTATCGGCAATGGCGCCCCGGCTGCAGCACAGACCTTCCACAGAAGGGCATTTCTCGTGGCCCATTCCCAAAACCCCTTTGCCCTGGATGAAGACCTGCGGATTCAGCCAACCCTTCAAATCACTTGTGCGCCACAAGGCATCTGAGTTTCAAACGGCTTAATTCTGGAGCGCTCCAGTGCTTGCTCATTGTCGTATTTCGTATTGCTTTTGACCTTAACTTTTAACACACTGTGCTTTTCGGTAATATTAAAAATGTGTGCTTGCTGTACATTACCCAAAGAATGTTATATTATGGAGGAGAAATAAAAATACAGCTTTTCTCTCTTCCCGGGTTGAGTTTATCTTGGGCTCGTTTAGCAGTGTTTTGTTTTCAAGTGGAAAAAAAATACACACAGACAGGAAGGACAAAATACAGGTGTGACAAGCGCCATCTTGGTACATTTCTCTCATCCATCCTGGCCAGATCCCACCCGTGCATCCCGAAGCCCCCCTACAGGTGCTGGGTGAACACAACTTTCCACACTCACAGTGGGAACTCGGCTGTCACTGAGCCTTTCCTCTTTCTGCCCACGTGGATGATAGAAAAGGGTGCCACGTGGCTGTGGCAGCTGGGTGCAGTGACCCCCCTCCCACCCACTGATTCTCAAAAGCACACCTTCACAGACAGATATCTCATCCTAAATAAAAGCATGAAATCTTCTGGCGGTGTCCCCACCCACTCGGGGCTTCAAAAAGGTAAGGCACAGCCGTAAGCGTATGGACTAAGAGACTGAAATGCCTCTGCTCATGTGCAGAGTGAGCTGCCCTTACCACTGGGCAAGGCCACCCACCCCACACACATCGGAGAGCTGGCAGCCGAGACTTACAGTTCTGATAGCGTGGCAGAGTTTAGCCTTGCTGGTTTCCTTCCTGGGAGTTAACGGCCGCTTGTTTTTTTCCACATGGCCAAGATGGGGACGGCGACCGGCAACGAACGCCTTACAAAATGCCGAACTCGTTCTCCCGCCTCATTCGGGGAACGCTCAGTGCACACACCGCCGGACGGCTCCGCACCAGATACACAAATTATGCCTCTCCTTCTCTGAAAGCAGCGAGCAAAAGAATGAGCGGCCTTGAAACGCCAGGAGCCGCCTGCTAGATCGGATTTCCGCGCCCGATTTCTTTTTACTGAGTCGCCACTCTGGGAAGCGGCCTGTCCGGCGACCGGGGGAGCCCTGAGCTGGCTGCCGCTCGGGTGCGTCTCGCTGCAATGCGCGGCTCGCTCGCACCGGCCGGGCACGGGGAGACGGTGCGCAGGGCCGCTTCTCACAGTATTCTCTGCCCCCCAAGTGGCGTTGTCCGGATGACCCCTGCCCCCACCGAGCAAGAGATCCTAGCTGCACCGAGGTATCACTGTAGCAGGGAGAGCTTTCAAGCAGCGAGAGCGAGTCAAACGTGGCACCGCCGGAGTAGATTAACACTTTCTGCACAGAAGCCAATGTGGACACAACTTTGGCAACTGCAAGAACAGCCGTCAGACAGAAAGCAGAAAAGAAAAGGGAGTCGGTTGATATAATGCAATGTACTGTTGACAGATTTGGGGCACTGGCCCGTTCTTTGCAAGCAGCATTTCAGGATGCGATTTATGTTGTTCTATGCGTATCGGCGCATGCGAGAATCACATTTATTTCCTGCCCAAGAGCCAAAACTCTCTGTGTGGTTCAGAAAACAAAACATCAATCCAAGAGCATAACAACATACTATAAAAACTTGCAAACACTCAGCATCAAGTAAAAGCCAGAGGTTAAACACCAGGCAGAATAAAACAGGTCTCTCCCAGGAGTGCTGAGCCTCCAGCCCTGGCCCAATTCTGGCCCTGCGAGGAAGCCGGCCTGGCACTGAGGGGCTCCCTCGATCATGCCCCCCCCCCACACACACACCAGCTCTTTCAGGGGGTGTTCTCTGGAATTCCTCTACACAGCAGGCAAAAAGCCAGCACTTTGTGCAGCGGGACCGGCTGCTCCTGTTGGATTTCAGCCTGACATGCACTTCTTTAAGGGCTCTTTATCTGGAGAAAAGCTGGCAGAGCTCCTCCTGTTGCAGGAGGTGCCCCAAGCCCCGACTTCCCCTTTCCCAAGCCCGGAGAAGCACCCGCAGCGTCTCCAAATTCACAAAAGCCACTTGCCCTTTGCCCCACAAGAGGTCGCCCTCTTTAAATTAGGCCCTGAGGGGTCTCTGCTTCTGCCCCCACAGCATTCAGTGCCGCAGGAGGAAGGATCAAACCCAATTCATCCCTAAAGCGAATTGTGAATCATCATCGCGGGGCTTGTACTCTGCCCGCAAAGGGAAACAGGCCGGCATGAGGAACCCGCTGAGCTGCATCCCCGAATATCCAGGGCACCAGCAACGCTGCTTCTGCAGCTCCGGCAGGCGCGTTTGGGGTAAGCTCAGCCAGCTTGCGGCCGACCTGCCACTGGTGGACCAGCTGAAGTCTCCAAGGGCAACCCCACGCACCGTACTTTGCAGGAGTCAAGCACAGAGGGTTGAACCATTTCAGGGACGGTCGCCAGATTC